CCCCTCAGGAAAGATTCTTGTCAGCATTGTGCAGGAGAGTGAGGAGGTGGTGTTCTGTCATGTGAGGATAGGATACCGGATGGGATTACAATAACTGAGCAGGTTTTCTGAAGTAAATAAGCATAGAGTTACCAGGGATAGTCCATACCAGCATAAATAGCTCATTTTATTTCCACTGAATGTAAATAATTTTAGAAATCTTGTAATGGTTACAAAGAAGAAGGGTATTCAACATACAATCTTATATGCTGTTCATGTTCTGCGTGTGAAATGATGCGGAAAGTAAATAAAACTAAATAAATACTGTGAATATTCTGCTAGTCAGATATGTTGTATAAGACTTACAGACACAGGTTTCACAAATCCATATTCTTCGAGGAAAAGAAGCTGTATGGTGTGACTGGCCTCTAGCTTTTTAAAGGGGAAGCAAAGTTTTAGATCTGATATGCAGACTAGTATGATTGATATTAAATTAGCAGTAAAAGTGTAGATATTGATGGAAAGGTGAAGAATAAAAAGAATTTGTTTAGAAGAGAGTCAAGATGTTGAGAATAAAATTAATGAAGGCTCGAAGGACTGAAACAGGGGTTCTTTATTTGCCCACTTGCCATTGTGATGAAGCTGGCTAATAAACAAGTGGAGCTGAAGCAAAATTATTCATTTCTAAACCGAAGTGCTGAAAAGATGAAATTCCTCTGAGTAGAAGGGAGAATTCCTGTGGCTAAAATCGAAAGACAGAAATAGGTTGGAAATAACAGTACATTGCAAAAATGGTGTTTCCTCTTTTCACAGCCATTGTACCAGATGATCTTGAAGTCCAAAAGATAAATTAATACTTAAAATAAATATTTATGTGCTTGCTGATGACTGCTGTAGACTTCCAAATCCAATTTGAGACTTGTATGAAATGCTAACTAACCTGTCGTGTGTGAGAGAAAGAAGTTCTTAATGTGTGGGGGTGAAGTCTTCAAACTGGAGATCTTAGTTCTCCAACATGAAATTTCTTGGTGGCTACTGAGTAGATTGCTTTATCTGTATGGGAAACACTGTATCACATATTAGCATGTTGTGTTAGATCTATTTTCTGTAAACAGAGAGCTGAATTAAGAACTAAGCTCAGAAATAAAGCCAGGTATTACCCTAGTGAAAGTGATTGAAGCTTGAAACTTTTCTTTGCAAACAGAATAATATCTGGAGCAGTCTGATATGTACCTGGACATATTTATTCAAATAAATGAACTTTACTGCCTAAATAATTTCTAAGCTGCTGTATCTGGATACTTCCAGAAGATGCAAATCTTCTGAAGTTTAAAACAAAGTCACAGTAACTCGATTGAATGAGAGGTTGTAGAGAGAAAAATATGGATAGTAATTGAGTTATATGTGTAAATGGCTAGAAAGCTGCAAACCTGTGGTTGAAAGGGGAGGATCTTCTGATACATAAATAATAATAAGGAAAAAAGTGGTTTTGCTTGTATTAAAAAGAAGTTGGGAAGAAGAAGGCTTAATGATCGAAGGAACTAGCAATAGAGTTAGGAAGTTCAAAAAGGCTTTCAAGTGCACTATTAGCAAAACCATCTTAGCAATGGTATTAATTAGTCATAGACGTGGTGTAGGATTATCAGCTACAGAGGCAAAATGGGTTTGGTAAGCATGTCTTATCTAGGAAAGAAAAAAACAAAAAATTGATGCTTAATCATCACAGATGTGTAATTATCACATACTAGTGATGAAAGAGGTTCCGTAACAAATATAGATTTGTGGAAAGGCAGTTGTTAAAGTGCTCAGTTTGTAAAACAACTGGTCAAGACAGCTTGCGTTCAAGAATTTTGAGAAAATTGGCTGCAGATTTTTAAAAGACAGAAGTGTTGAGATGCTGAAGAAATTCCAGAGAATTGGAAGAAAGTTTATGTTGCATTAGTATTTAAAAAAGGATAAGTGGAATGTGCTGGGTTTAGTTGTATGTACTGATAAACTCTACTCGTGTGAAGTATGTGACTGCATAGTGTAAAGACTGCTGCCTTGACATCAGTCTGAGTAAAAATATCAGGACACTTGATATGAGACAACTAGAAAAAAGTCTATAATTGCTTGTCTATCAAAACATCTTATTTAAAAAGGTGTTTTGTTGTAACATCATTTTTAAATGAATTCTCAAGTTTGAGAGAAGTCATGGTGTGAATGTAGGGCGTTCTACTCTCAGTCACATACTTACATTGATAACACTTGATACTGAAAACTGTATTGATAATCTGCTGATAGCATAAAGACTAATATGAAGCAATAAGTCAGAGTGCAACTTGCCAGAGTAAAACCGTGTATCTGAAAGGCAAAGAATGAAGATGGAAAGGGTGGAAATGCCTTTTTTGAAATGAAATATGCCAGGGAGAGATTTGATGTCACAGTGGAAAATCAGCTAAGAAGAATTTTTTTGACCAAAATGACTGATGAGATTGTATCACAGATAAACAAGGAGATCTCAGGAGAGAGCTGAATGGCCATTCTGTATCACATGAGATTAGTGTGCGCTGACGTTTGCCTTTGAGCAACAATCTTGGGAAATTGAGAGGGCTGTAAGAAGATCCCAAGATATTGCTTCTTATAATCAGCTTTGGTGAAACAGCATTTTGTCGTCTTGCTTCTCTTTTTGATCACTACTGCAGTGTATCTGAGCAGAATACAGAGAGCAATGAGGTAAGCAAGGCACATGGATCAACTAATGAGCAAAGAATAAAGAGTTTAACAGCAGGCAGCAGGAGATCACAGTGACATTTTCAAGGTGAAAGGTTAACAGCTTAAAGTTGTAAATACTCATGAAGGAGGGAGAATATTTATTGAACGGAAGATGGAAGGTTTAGGAATAATTGAAAAAATACAAGGATAGATAGTAGACACAGAGTCTTCTCATTGTCTAGTCTGACTTCCCTGACAGTCAGATCTATTAGTCTGTACATTAACTCATTTCCTAAGAGAAGTAGTGAGAAATATTGAGTTGCTATTTTGATATTGCAGGGAGAAAACGCTACAAAATGCTCTAAATGAAGTTCCTATTTTGGCAGAAAGATGGCCTGAACTGGAGTTGGCTTCCCATCATGAGTTCCAGAAGAGTTTTCTGTAGTTTTCTTTTCTTCTGCAAAGTAGCATCAGGATTCAGGAAAAATTTCAGCCCTGCAGGTGCCTGAATGCATTTTCTGTAAGATACTGAAAGAAATGGAATTACTTTCTGAGTGCTGGAGGCTTCTGGTTTTCTGGTGTTCTATTAGAGAAAAAGCAATGGATTTGTGCTACGCTGTTAAGAGATCCCGTATTTTTTGCGGTGACAATTGAGTACTGTTATATTTACTGTTTCTCTCTGATCATTTTATGCTCCTTAATGGCAGGCTTAACCTATTTCCTATAACAGATTTCCTCTTCATCTTTGATTTCCTATCACTTAAATCATTGCCTTTTGCTGACGAAGACAGAGAAATCAGCTCGTTATACAAAATGGTCCTTATTATTTGTTTAATGTTGACATTCATGTCATATAAGATTGCAGACAAGCATGATGAGAGGATACGCTTGGAAGCACCTCTGGAACTCTTAGTTTCACAGAAAAGTGAAGTAAAGTTTCTGTTAGTGACTTTATCTGATAGATCTTCAGTACAGAGAGGCTGAATGAGCATGCAAGTAATTGAAATGTAAATAGACTGGAATATTACAAAACTACTTTCCAGATCTTATGCATGTGTTCATCACTGAGCTCTCTTCTGCTTCTTAGAAGCCAGAAATCTTTTGTTATGAGAAAATAAATGGGTGAATGCATATTTCTGTGAGCAGCTTCCTCGTGAAAGGAGTGGAGGGGCAGGCACTGATTCCTGCTCTCTGGTAATAGCAATAGGACCTGGGAGAACGGCGTGGAGCTGCATCAGGGAGAGTTGGTTGGGGGACTGGAAAAGATTTTTCCCCAGAGGATGGGGGAGGTAGGCGTAGGCTACCCCTAGGGCAATGATTGTTACACCAAGCTGCTGGAGTTCAAGGAGTGTTTGGACAACACTCTTGGACATAAAGTTTGAATTTGGTAGATCCTGTGTGGAGTCAGAAGTCAGACTGTAGATGGTCTTTGTGGGTCCCTTCCAACTTAAGATATTCTGTCCTTCTACCGATTTGCTGCAGCTTGATGGCTGCTCTAACTGTCCTTTCCTCAGCAGCACGTGAAGAGCTGTCTTTATGCTATAACAAAAGATGTAATTCTCATAATATGAAACGTTTTGTAGTGTTTTACTCCTTGTGGGATGCATGTTCACGCGTTTCATATTTTCTGAGATTTTGATCTTTTTTTTCCAACTCAACCAAACTTTATAACAGAACTCTAAGATTTGATATGAATAAAAATGCACAAATGCATATATATTGATGTCATAACATGATCAAATACTGTAATTATCAAGGAAGGGTTTTTTTATTTATATGACAAAGGGATTTGTGAGATAGAGTAATGGAAGTAGATTAATAAGAACTGTATTGATGAAGCTACATATTAACAGATATCAGCTACAAGGAAATAACCTGATTCCTTTGCAAGTCCCAGCCTTTGTACATGGTGGTAGAAATAGATGTTTTCTGGATATGTGACTAATGCAAAGGTTTCATTAATGTTAGTTAATGTGTTTCCAGAATAAAATATATAGTTGCTGGCAGGCAGCCATGGGCCTGCTATTCAGCTGTACAGTGGCTACAACACAGGCAGTACTGGAACACAGTGTCTATTTAGGAGTTTTATACTGATAAAAAGAAGGATAGATAAAGAATTCCAAAGAACATAATAGTAAATAAAATATTTTGTTGTAGAAGTGGCAGACTATTTTGGACAGTGTTACCTCTGTACACTGTGATGAGTGTGGATTGATACAATGAGGCTTTGATAAATCTGTGTTCATGTTTAACAGTCTGAGAGTATAGTTTTGTGTAGAAACATGAAATCCTTCTCCTGTTGTTTTTGTTTTGTTATAGTAGTTGTCTCCTGTTCTGGATCACATGAAGTAAACTCTTCTACACCAAATCCACCTGAGAAGTTCTCCCTGATAAGAAATAGGATGGTGTCATTTCGTCAGCCTTCTGAACCAGGTACCACAAGTCCTCTTCTTTACATTTGCCTTATTTCTACATCAAAATCTAGGTGCAAGTGAAATGCTGGCAGTCACAAGGATCCTTCAGAAAGCAGCACTGAGTTCCTGGCTGGAAATAGCACAGTGATGCTGAAAGACCAGTGTAACCTTAGGGGAATTCTTTACTTCATTATTAAAATAAAATAAAATAAAGATCTTCTATATCATCACAGTGTAATACACCAGATTTGGGCTAAGGAGTTCTTTAAACAAAAGCTATTTAGTAGAGCTATAGCAAACACAGAATGAAGTAGCTTTCTTGACACCAAATGAAGGTTTTTTCCAATTGGAGTTTTCAGTTTTCTAGGAGTTTTTAAAGAACAGTGAGCTGAACAAAAATGCTTGTGAGATAGGTAGGATGTATTTGGTCTTACTGTGTCGCCAGGATAAATGCCACATTTCATAAGCACTCAAGAGAAAGGAACCAGTTGTCATCAGTGATGTGGAAATGTGGAAACTGAAGGGATGACTTTCCATTTAGTGAAATAATCACTTAGGGAGACTTCTTCAGCTCACCTAGTACAATCCACTTGCTCAGGAAGGGTCACTGAAAGCAAGTTGCCTATGACCCCATTGGGCTTTCAATACCTATGAGATGGTGAATGTACAACTTAAATGTGCAGCACATTTCCAGTGCTTTACCACTCTCAGGTATTTTCTTATGTTCTGATTGAATTTCCTGTTGTTTTTTTTTTTACTTTGTGCCAATTGCCTTTTTTTTTCCTGCAGTGGGCAATAGTGAGAATAGTCTGGCTTCCTCTCTGTTCACTCCCATTAGGTGTCTATATACATTGACAAAAAGCTCCCATGAGCCTTCTCTGTGCCGAACGATCCCACTCAGTCAGCCTCTCTTCATAAATGGTCCACTCCCTCAACAATATTTATGGGCCTGTGTTGGACTCATTACAGCAAGTCTGTGTCTTTCTTGATACAGAGGAGGTGGGAGATACAGCCTGTTCCAAACCACAGTGATATGTAACTCCATAATATTCATATTTCTCTAAATTTTGCATGCTCGATGGTGTGTGTAATCATGGTTACAGTTAAATTTAAAAATTAGGCAAACTTGTCTACTTTGTCTTTTGTATTCAAGAAGATGCTTTTTTTCCATGGCAGCTTTCATTATGTTTTTTTGTTTTTTTTTTTTCCCCCCTGAAAGTTAGAGTATCACAAATTCTCTGGAGGCTCTTTTTATTTTCTTCTGTCCCATTTGGGTTGCCTGTACAACAGCCTATCATTGTTATATTCCTGACCTTAATTCTATTCTTAATTCCTACCTTCTTTTCTTCCAAGTAGTAGAGCAACAAAGAGATAAAACTGTGTAATTTGTGAGTACAAGGTATGAATACCCTCTGAATGACAGGATCCCAAATATGAATGTTCACTCTTACAGTTTCTCATATGGCCTGTGGGTCCTCAAGTTATTACTGTAATATTATTATTACTACTGAAAATAAATATTGTGCAAGTTAATATCAGCTTACTGTATCTATTCAGCTCCATTCTGTGTGGGAGAGCTTTGTACAGCTAACATCTCTTCAAGGAGCTTGTATTAGATTGATGAGAGAACAGTGAATTACTTGTCTGGTTTATAATATGCTGATTATGAAAAATTCTGGCCGGGATGATCTAGTGTTCTTAGTGCTTGAATGGACTCTGGAGTTCTTAGGAGGGCATTCTTGTCTATCTTGCTGGAGAAGAGTAGAATGCTGGGGGAAAATAAAGAAAAGAAAAAAATATATATAAAGCTTGCTTTGCTCAGCTATTCTGCTTAAGATCTTAGGGCTTCCTTTTTTCCTCTCTGTTAAAATGCTAAATCCTTACAGTTTCAATATCCTTGCTGTAGTAGGTAGCATTTTGAATGAGAATAATATGTACTTAGGTTGCTCCAAAATAATGCCTCCAGTTTATTTCCATGGAAACTTACAATAGACACAAAGAGCACAGTAACACTATTTGATAGAGCAAATTCTCAGCTACAAAATGCTATTTTTCAAGATATTCAACACCATTAACTATGCACTGTTATCAAAGCTGGCACGCTGCACTTGTAACTATCTGCACCAATGGAGCTGATGTACAGTTACTGCTGCCACTACCGAAGCATATTACCCATTGCCTCCCTGTGCTCATATTCACTGTTTGGCCTCCATAACTTCAGCAAGTATCGATGAATGTCAATGGCTGTGATTTTTTTTCTCTGTGGAGGATTTCAATTACGTACTTTTGCTTCATACGCGTTTCAGTGTCAGACGCCATTTTGTCAGACTGCCCCTCTGCTGCCATCTATATAGCGATAAAAAGTAACAGAACATTGGTGGGAAGGTTCAACCTCTATTGCCATACCACCAACATCCCCATCTGACTTTGTGGGCCGACAGTATGAAATATGAGGCGTTATCTTTGAAACAGCCCTTGTATCTGGGGGTTGACCATCCACTGATATAAATTCACTGTTGATACTGGTGGGAAGATGCTGGTTTACATCTGCCAAGAATTTGCAGTTGTTTTTCTCTCAGGTATGTTCCTTCACCTGCTCTGGAAGAGATTCTTTGTTGTTATTGCATAAGAAGCTTTCTCTTCTCCCTTCTAGTCTTTCATTTCTTGAGAGAGACTCCATACACCATAGATCTGCTCGTTTATGCCCCTACATAGGCCTGCTACTTGAACTGGAGAAAGCCTGAATGAAAACTTTTGCTTCTTATGACAGAAATCTCTTGTATCATCACCTCAAGCTGCTCATGGATGACATCTACAGATAGTTTTGGAAGACCAGACTGGGTATTGTCTTCAGTCAGTGTCCTGGTATCTCAGGAGAGGCAGCAGCTGCTTCTGGAAAACAGCTCCTCCCAAGGAGGTGTTGAAGGTAGGCAATTACAGTTTCCCCATAGTGAATATCTGCTTTCTCCCAGCGCCAGTAATAGTAATAGCCCAGCAGCAATAGGAGTTGACAGACTGAGACCTCAGTCACATATTTTTAAAAATACTGCCATATGCTGGTTCTGGTGTGCGACTGTTGGGTACATTGTCTGTGCCTAAAATAGTCTATCACTGAGAGCCTTATAATCTGTATTATCCTTATATGTACTGCCTGCTTTGTGTATATGTGTACCCTGTATCTAGCCAGCTCATTTATATGCTCCTTTTATTGCTCTGTGTTTTAGCATTAGCTGCTTCTGCTTACTCGTGGATTTTTGTTACAAAACTCAATCCTTTACAAGCCAGGTCTGGCTCCTCATGTCTGCTGGCTGATTTGAGAAATCTTCAGCTTTTGTTTTGTTGGACATATTCACTCTGCTTTGTTTGGTTTCTTCTCTTCTCATTCCTTCTATTGCTTCTAATGTATTTCCCTCCTTCACTTTAATCTCCTTTCTTTTCTATCTGTTATTTATAATTGGTGCATAGTCCTCTGCTTTCTTCTTGAGATCTTTCTTCAAACCCTTCATCTATTTTCATATTATTATAGCTCTTCCATCCACAATGTGTCCTTTTTCTTTTCTTTTTTTTTCTTCTTACAGGAGGCATTTTCCTTCTGAACATGAGTAGGCTGCCAGATAGATGCAAGTTCAGCCTGCACAGCCCAATCCTGCCTGGGAGCGTGGACTCTTGTTTGCTGGAACTAGCTGTATATTCACAGGATGCTGTTCCTCTCCTCCAGAGATTCACAGTTGAAATCAGATATGTGGACACTAACAGAAATATAATAATTTCTCTGAAAGTTGGCCATGAAGAGGATGCTGGGTAAGACAATCAATTTGCAGCTCTTTAGACTTTAAATTGCAAGGTAGGGTGCAGTCCCTCCTGGCCACTGTTTTTTTAACATCTCTCTCCTTGAGATTATTGCCTTTGTTAGAGCAAAAACCGAAAGTAGAACTGTCAAGACTGAGTTGTGCAGCTTCCTGACAGGATGTCTGGAACAGACACAGGTTTTGTTTGCCCCCTTTGCAAAGAACACATCTAATTAGGAGTCATTCCTTCTCCCTCGTATTCAGGAGACGTGAGAGTGGCTGACTCCCTCACTGATTCTAGTGGTATAGAATTTAAAATGCGCTCAGTCCAAAGGCTGTGTTGGTGAAATGACTGATATCTCTAAGTGTTCAAGGGGTCCTGTTGTAGTCAGATTTTGAGAAGGGTTAATCCTGCCTCTTTTGTAATTTCTTCCTTCTGTCTGCTAAGCTCAGGAGCATCCTCTTTTGCTTTATCTGTAGAGTTCAGAGAATGGAAAAGCAAAGGCTAGAGGTGAGAAGAGGTAAAGGAAAAAAAAAACAGAATTGCAGCAACCCTGGATCTTGTCTTGCATTTTGTTCTCTGATCTGTTCCACATTTATTTTTTCATTCCTGCATGAAGCAGAACGCAGCGAGGAGAAGAAATGGGTAAAGGGAATGAATCACAACAGGAAAAGAAGGAGAAAGGTCCACGTGTCATCTGATTTTGCCATTTTCCATGTGCTTTTTCCTTTGCTGCAGTATGTCTTGTAAAAACCTGGGTCAGGCACACAACAAAGTTTTTTTATTTCCATCACCTGACCGACTCCCGTGAAGAACTTAAGCAATAGATCCCAGTGCTTGTTTTCTTTGAATTCTTTGGCACTTCTCAAGCTGCCATGGAGATCTTCAGCCAAGACTTCTGGTCAGCCAAAGACAGCAGAGGTTGACTAAGAAAACTTATTTTACTTCAAATCCATCTCTCACTCCTACTTTTAGCTATTGCTCACTTCCTTCCTGGCTACTCCTTCCTTTTCTTTTTGCCAGTTTCACAAGGAATCTGTAACATTTTCTGGGATAAATTTCTAACCTTCTTTTTCACCTGCTTTAAGTACTTGACAAGCCTCTACTTGCCTAAACAACTGCAGCCACAGTTCCCCAGAATTAACTCATAAAATACCCTTTGAGATACCTACCTGCCCAGGACAGGCTTTGATCACAAACAGTGTAGCATTTCTGAAATGAAACATAGTCATTGTTTAAGAGCTTATTTGAGCACTACAAAAAATTCTACATAAAATTATTGTCTAAATTATTGTCTGAAAGTGATGTTATTTACACTCCTTGGAATGGAATTAGTGTCACTGGAAATTGGTATGAACATTGGTATTACTTAGTGAAACGAAGCACTGGTAAGAACTGAGACTTTAGTTGTAAGAATGTAAAGGTGGAAGGTGATTGCCTCCTATTCTAAGTCTAAATAGAAAGGAGGGGAAGGAAGAAGCACGAAATAGTTAAGAACAATTTTAGGTCAAATATTCTTACTTTACCCTATCTTTTTGGTTCTCTGCACAGTTCCAGAAAAATTTGTATGTTCGAGAGAACAAAATTTATTTCTACAGTGTTTGAGCTGCTTCTTGTTAGGGAGATACTCTGAAATAAGCAGTTTTTCTGCGATTAAGATTTAAACAGTACTGGTTATTAAGAACAGAGAGCATCTTGAAACATTCCCACTTTCCAGAGTGAGCAGAAGTCATATACACTTTCGTGTGTTACCCAATCCCAGCTGCACAATTTGTAGAATAAAAGGAAGATAATGAGGAAATGACCTAGAGATAGATGCCTATGTCTATTACATATTTTAATCTTCAGTTGCTACCAGGAGATCATCTTGAAGTCAGAGTGAAAAATGAGAAATAGAAAGAAGGCTAGATATCATCTTTTCAGATAATTAATCCAGAAAATCCTGCTTCAGTCTTCTCTGTCATCTTTTAATTCCAAAATCAAGCTGTGCTTCATCATGAATTCCAGCAATAGTAAATCACTTCAGTGAACTGTCCTCTTTCTGGTCCTGGAAGTCTTATGCTGATTGTGTTTCCTCCTTCAAGGTCCATCAGCTACACAGTTCTCTAAAGCTCAGAGATATGTCACTCATTAGAAAAAGTCCCGACCACCTCTGTTAGGTTTGATCTGTAGTATTGAAGCTGCCACCCATTTTTTTGCAAATGCACTGTAGCAAAAGAGAAACAGACAGACCTTTTGGCACTAAGTTCCCAGATAAGTAGGACAAGCTCATATTTTTTTACTGTTATTTTATGCCACACCTATAACATATGAGTATTCTGAGCTTCTCGATTAGAGGGAGAGTCGCTGTGGGAGTGAGGTGTTTGAAATTCTACGTATTTACAAAAGATATATAAAATTATGTTTGTTATTATCTCAGTAGAGATCAAACATCAAGTGCCTGCATTTTTGTTTGCAGGCCCAAGCTTTTTTAATCTGGTTCTTGGCTCAAAGCTATCTTCATTTCTCATGGTTATGGTCCTGGTGCTTGTTCAGATCACTGATAATGACTTTATAACTACTTTGCTTACCCTATCTTTTTCCTCATTATCACACAGAGCAAAAAAACTAGTCACACCTGAAAACTCGTGTAAAAAGTCTTACGTGGTTTTGTTTTGAATGATTTCATTTGCTTGTATTTGTTGTTGACCACAATTGTTTCAGTGTTGTTAGCCAAAACTATTTCAATAATGGAACTTGTTTATTTCAGCTCTAAATACTCAAACTTCAATGAGAATAAAAAAGCAGTGCTTGGGGCAGTGATAATCTTTTCCCTTTACATGATAGAGCGTGATCAGTAAGCTGGCCTTATTGTTTTCTGTTTTCTTTCTAAAACAAAATACTGGCCATTGTACTCCTGGTAGTCCAAGAAAGAACGAGTTCAAGGCCACGTGCACAAATGGTCATCAGTTAGCCAATCTCATGAAAGGATTATTGCTTAGTTTTCCCTATCTTTACTGCTTTTTTTTTCCTTTTTTTTTTTTTCCTTTTTTGGAGCAGACCTGCTAAAATGCCCTGCCAGCTTCTGCGACTCCTATAGGAACTTATCATCTTTGAGACTCCTCTTCACCCAGTCTGGGTGTCCTATTGTCAACAGAAGTTCTTTAACTTTAGCTCTTGTATGTAGAGGAATTGTGATATAGCTGATTTGAATGTCTGGAAACACCTAAGGTCATTTGGAATTTATAAATTAGGTGTCCAACTCCATAAGCCTTTGAAAGGGAATAGTCTGGTAAGTGTCCTCAGAAAATGCCTAATACATACTGACAGCAATGAGCACAGCTATTTGAATTAAAAAATAAAGCTACAAAAGGAGAGACTGCACTGCTGTTATGAAAGACTGATTTTGATCACTAACCTAGGAATATGGTTTACTGACTCTCATGCACCAAACTGCACCAAAAATTCTTCTGGGCCAAGAAGGACAGATCTGTAGCTGGTTAGTAAGGGCAGGAGTTGCAGGCCTATGTTCTGTCATCTATTTCTTTTTGCATCCGATGACTAGCTTCATATATGTGGAAAAGAAATGTAAAGCCTCTAATTTGTATGTTCTTTGATAGTACCTTGAGGCAGTTAGCATAACTTTCTGCAGTAACTCCTGTAGTGGCCTCCAGTTCAGAAAAGGTTTCAGCTTTCACGTTAGGGTTTTTTAATTTGTCACTCTTAATGAAGAAATTGTTCTTAATAATAAAATAATCTTTCTTAAAATGCACAGTCTGTTAATTGTGTTGGAGATGGAAAGGCATAGCGAAGATTGGTAAGAAAAGGAAAAGCTTTTGTTTAGCCTAAGCTAGTGAAAATCAAAAATGGAAATTGTAGGTTAGCAGGGCAAATCTAAGCTTCTGTTGCCTTAGGCATCAGATTGCTTGCAACTCCAAACTTTTTACCTGTGTAAATTTCTCAAAATGATGTCAGATTCTGACAGCCCTTCTATACATACAGAGCAGTTTTAACATCTGTACTTAGAAGAAGAATATTACCTCATTAGTTGAGATCTGGCTTGACGTAAAATCAATAGTAAAGATATTGCCAAGCTTGGCTTATCTGAAAGCTTGCTACAATGATCCATCTTCTTAGGAGCTCAACAATGGGCTTTGTTCCTGATTCCATTAAGAAAATTAAGTTGGTTCTGACTATCCTTTGCTCAGATGCTGGGACAAAGCAAGTATTTACCATGTTAGAAATCTTGTTGCTGTTGTATGTTGAGGAGGGGGGTTTGTCTGAGTGGGAATGCCTTGATGATGATGAGACTCTGTACCTCCAAGAATTCTCGGTCATGGAAAGTTGCTTGTCTTTGTGGACTCTGGATGCTTGCAAGCTTTTCCAGTGGTGGTGTATAAATGGACTAAAATTTCAGTGTTAGCATCTTTCAGTGCAGAACTGGAATATTTCATGGGACCTTAGGGCTCTGATTCAAAAGAGCTGCCAGTACACATGAACAGTGGTTTAAGATATTAGTCTTCTCTCAGAGGCCCACTGAGACCTAGTGTTCTAGTGGCAGGGAATACGGTGTGTCTTTCTCAGATGTGATGTTTCAGAAGTTGGTTTATTGACTTAGCCAGTGGTTGTACTTCATTTTGAAATACTAGGCTGTAAACTGCAAGATTCAGAGTGTGCAGCTTGTAAACCACATACAATTAAGGTGCAGAAATGAAGCGAGTCATTGTTTTCAGCTGTGGGCAGTAATCTCTTTAGTTGCTAACATAAACATAACACCAGTTGTGAATCATGGGCTGGCTGCTGTGGATTCCTGTGTTTAGGATTATGGTAACAGTGGTGATGCTTAGGGGCTGTGTTGTAGCTTGGTGGAGGTAGTGGAACTCATTGGTTAGAAGGTCTTGTATGCTTAGTAGGTAAATGCAAAAGATGCAGAGACTGTCCTTATCTCCAGTGGCTTGTTGAACCAGTTAGTTTAAGGCCCACTGATTTTTTTGAGGCCAAGTGGATGCAATGGAATGATGAACAAAGCATCGTCATTTTTGTTTGTTTGTTTGTTTGTTTTTAAAGATTGTTAGGAATATTGTAGGTTTTTTTTATCTACACCTGGGTACCCTGACTCCTGATAGACTGATTTGAGTGAGATACATTGAAAATTCCCATTGAATGTCATTGTCTAGCTTTCAATGCCTAGCAACCATCTTCAAAAGTAGAGTGCATGCCACCGTCCATCTTTCTCTGAACTGCTACAATCACTCTACAGTTGAGATATTTTTGACGTCTTAGAGTTATGCTGTATGTTGTGTGGAGAAATGTAAGTTACAATAGGAGCTGAGAAAAAGATAACTGAATATGAACTTTTTAGGTAGAATGTCATTTGTTTTAAATGAATGTCTGCTATGTTGTACTTTATATTCAATTCCTTCCCCGTGTTAATACCATCGCTTCTATTTGGTGCAGTATAGAATCTGTGCTAGATATTCTGTGGACTCCAGCATGCTTTTTGTGCATCTGATATCTCCTTGTTGTATTCTAGGGTGAAATGGAAATCCATGATGGCTCAGATTGGCCGAATAGAAAGACCGTTTAAAATCACCTTGCTGTATTCAAACTGTGGAGCACAAGAGGCTGGACTACTGGCAGTGGGCTCCTTGCAGCTCACAAACTGCTTCCATGGTACGTTGCAATACAGTCAGCTTTGGAATAATCAAATGCAGTCATAAAAGAAAGCAGCATCCTCACAAAAAATGGTGAGCATGATTAAAGATTTGGTCAGGTAAGACATACATGAAAGCTGAGTGTCCTCTATGATTTTTGGCAGTGCTTACCTGTCAAGGGTCATATTTGAATGTATTTTGTGTGCACATGTGCACACGCTCAGAAGGCAGAGTTGAAGTGCAAAATTGAACTGATTTTGCACAGAATCACAGAATGGCCAGGTTTGGAAGGGACCTCAAGGATCATGAATCTCCAACCCCCCTGCCACATGCAGGGCCACCAACCTCCCCATTTAATACCAGACCAGGCTGCGCAGGGCCCCATCCAACCTGGCCTTGAACACCTCCAGGGACGGGGCATCCACAACCTCTCTGGGCAGCCCATTCCAGCACCTCACCACTCTCTCTGTAAAGAATTTCCCCCTGATATCCAACCTAAATCTCCCCTCCCTCTTCTTAAAACCACTTCCCCTTGTCCTGCAGTTATCAACCCTTTCAAAGAGTTGATTCCCCTCCTATTTGTAGGCTCCCTTTAGGTACTGAAAGGCTGCAATGAGGTCACCCCGTAGGCTTCTTTTCCCCAGGCTGAACAAGCCCAGCTCCCTCAGCCTGTCCTATCAGGGGAGGTGCTCCAGTCCCCTGATCATCTTTGCGGCCCTCCTCTGGACCCTCTCCAACAGCTCCCTGTCTTTCTTGTACTGGAGGCTCCAGACCTGGACGCAGTATTCGAGATGGGGCCACACAAGAGCAGAGTAGAGGAGGACAATCACCTCCCTGTCCCTGCTGGCCACCCCTCTTTTGATGGAGCCCAGGACACCATTTGCCTTCTGAGCTGCAAGGGCACACTGCTGGCTCATGTTAAGTTTTTCATCTGTCAAGACCTCCACGTTCTTCTCTGCTGCTCTCAAGGCTGCTCTCAAGGACCTCTCTCAAGGCTGCTCTCAAGGCTGCTCTCAAGGCTGCTCTCAAGGACCGCTCCTTCCAGTCTGTATGGATGCCTGGGATTCCTCCGGCCCAAATGCAAAACTCTGCACTTTGCCATGTTGAACCTCATCAGGTTCACCCGGGCCCACTTTTCCAGCCTGTCAAGGTCCCTCTGAATGGCATCCCTTCCTTCAACCGCACCACTCAGCTTGGTGTCGTCAGCAAACTTGCTGAGGGTGCACTCAATTCCGTCATCGATGTCACTGACAAAGATGGTAAAGAGCACCGATCCCAAGACAGCCCCTGGGAGACACCGGCACTGTCTCCATTACCAGCCTCCACCTGGACATAGAGCCATTGATGACAACCCTCTGTCTGTGTCCTTTCAACCAGTTTCCTATCCACTGGGTAGTCCACCCATCAAATCCACATCCCTCCAAATTGGAGATAAGGATGTGGTGGGGAACCAGGTCAAAGGCCTTGTTCAAGTCCAGGTATGACATTGGTCGCCTTCCCCTTGTCCACTGATGCCGTCACTCCATCACAGAAGGTCACCAGATTGCTCAAGCATGACCTTCCCCTCGTGAAGCCGTGCTGGCTGTCTTGGCCCACACGCTCATTCCTCATGAGATCAAGCTTGTCATCCAGGATGATCTGTTCCATGATCTTCCCAGGTACAGAGGTGAGACTCACTGGCCTGCAGTTCCCAGGCTCCTCCTTGCTCCCTTTCTTGTAAATGGGAGTGATGTGACCTTTCCTCCAGTCATCCGGGACCCCACCTGACAGCCACGACTTCTCAAATATGATGGAGAGTGGCTCAGCAGCCACCTCAGCCAGCTCCTTCAGAACCCTGGGATGCACGCTATCTGGCCCCATAGACTTGTACACATTCAGTCTCATGAGGCGGTCTCGGACCTGCTTTGTCCTCACAGTGGGGGGAGTTTTACCACCCCGGTCCGCACCTAGAGGTTTAGGGATGCAGGCTTCAGGGACGTGAGAAGTACTGGAATCTTGGCTACCAAGTGAAGACTGAGGCAGAGAACTCATTCAGTACCTCAGCCTTCTCTTCATCCGTGGAAGCCAGTTCTCCTTTACATTTACCAAAGGAGCACACTTGCTGTGGCCTGTCTCTTCTGGCCAATGTACCTGTAGAAAGTCTTCCTACTGTTTTTCACGTACCTCGCCAAGTTCAGTTCTGCCTGCGCCTTGCCTTTCCTGATCCCATGTCTGCAAGTCCGGACAGCATCCCTGTAGTCTCCCCAGGTGACACAGCCTTGTTTTCCGAGCTTGTATGCACCTTTCTTCGCCCTCAGTGTCCTCAGCAGGTCCTTACCGAGCCACGCCAGCTTCCTACCTCGTCTGCCCGCTTTCTTATTCAGAGAGATGGAGAGCTCTTGTGCTCTCAGGAAGGCATCCTTGAAGAGTAGCCAGTTCTCCTCAACATCTTGGTTTTTAAAGACAGCATCCCAGAGGATCTTGGCCAGCAGTCCATTGAACAGCTTAAAGTTCCCTCTCCCAGAGTTCAGGGTCCTGATGCCACTCTTTGCCAGGCCTACATCCCTCGAGATCACAAACTCAACTGGGGTGTGGTCACTGCAGCCCCGACTGCCTCCAATTTGCTTTGCACTGACGCTCATACAAATGTATAAGAAAGTAACAGGGCTCATGCTGGATCCAGCAATAGGGATGGAAAGAAGTGTCAGCCTAGGATATTTTAGCTTTTACTGTTTTTCTTTCTCAAATAGTAACAAAAGGCTACCCAGTGTCACTAAAGCTTTTTCTGTGCTGGGGCTCTATCTTGCAAATTTATGAAGAAAAGCAACTCTGGTCTGCAGTCTGTGGTGTCTATTTACCACTGCCTGGCTCAAAACTTCTGTCCAAAATGAAAATAATTTGAATGTAATTTATGCAAAGTACTGAGTGCTCAGCTCAGAAATGATCGATTTTACCTACCATTTTCAGACCTGTTGCCAAGGTCATGCAAGTGATCCTCAGTACATATGCAGAACCCTGCTAATGTCATTCAGGCTTCTGGGAAGTGTATGAGTCTGCTGGTGCAGGCAGCCTGTAAGTTGGAGACATAATTATCTTCACTTCCTGGTTTTCATCCATTAATATAATGCTATTGCTTCTGTTTTGCAGACACTGTAGAATTAGTTTTGAATAGAAATGTAAGATCTAGAAAGTTTCAAATGTAAGAATACTTCACAGTGCTGTTTCATCATATATCATGAGATTGCTTTAAATCATACTAGAGATTTAATTTTATTGCAGTCAATCTTTAACAGATAATATACTTTTAATGCAATGCTTTTCACAGTCTTGGAATTTTTGAGGGGATGCACACAGCCTGAAGCATTGTGCTAAATCTCCAAAGTGCCCTTAAACAAGCTGTTGCATGTACCCAAAACAACACAGTACCCTGAAGAAATGATGTTTCAGATGTTCTTTCATCCTCCTCCTGGGGTTTTCTTTCTAAGCTCTGCATTTTTTCCAGAGCAGTAACAATTGTAATGGAACATCTGTGCAGAGCTCTGCTAACAGGGAACAGGTCCAGAGGAGACTTTCACACACCTGCAGATCCACAACAAATCTGTGCACACACATATCCACAGGACAGGCTTGGTACACTGAGTCATGATTTCAGAAAATATCACTTAAAAATTGTATGCAGCCTGTTGGTGAGTACTCATGTGACTAGTTCAGTACTCCTGGAGTGTAGCTGGAGAGGCAGGTTGGGGTGCATGAGTGAGCCGGCCTGCTGAGGAAACACCTTTCATCACGGGGTGGATGCCACAAAGATGGCATAACAATATGTCAGCAACACAAGTATTAATTGAGCCTGATTCTCGATTGGCCATAACAATGTGTCCATCAGGCCCAGAGCTAAGTGCACATTGCTGCCTCCAGCAGCAGTGTCGTGCAGCATGCCTCTGCTGGCTGACAGGTGCATGATCACGTGTGCAGGACGGAAGAATCACACAATTACAGGATCACAGAATTGTAGGGGTTGGAAGGGACCTCCAGAGATCATCGAGTCCAGCCCCCCTGCCAAAGCAGGTTCCCTACAGCAGGTCACACAGGTAGGCATCCAGGCAGGTCTTGAACATCTCCAGAGAAGGAGACTCCACAGCCTCCCTGGGCAGCCTGTTCCAGTGAACTTGCCGTATTGAAAAATGTAGGATCCTCAGTAAAAACAAAATAAAAATCTGATTGCCTGAAGATGGCACAAACACAGCAGAAGCTAGTGTGTGCAGGAAAGAGTAAGGAGCAATGAATTTGGTCTGTGTGAGAGCTGAGGCAATCTTGGGAATCTCATGCTGGATAGAAACCTGCATGACAAAGAGCACAGCTAAGTATCATTTATCACCCAGAGGACAATTTCTGAGGTCATGTGTGTGAAGGCTGATGCACATGCAGGAATATATATATACATTCTGCTGATTCATCTCTGAGCTTTTTTTTTTTTTTTTTTTCTTTAGATAAAGAAAACCCAGATCTTTCTATATACAACAAAGGCTCTTCCTTCCCCTGCCTTCACGGAGGCTGTGTTAGCCACTTACAAATCTGTGAATTCATCAGTGATTGCCCTACCAAAGAAGTAGAAGGAGTAAGATGTGGTGAGTATATGGCATGGCATTTCGTGGGAACCTTTATCCTGTTACAATGATCAGTTTAGAATAAAATACAGGTTAAATTGATTCTATTTCTAGATTAATTCATTATTAAGCCTCCTATAATAATTTAGACTGTTTTTATTATTTTATTATCAAGATTTTTCTTGAAAATTCATTCCACATAGGATAAAATTGATTTATTATTATTTTTAATATTGCAATAAGACATTCAGTGACCTGTGTTTCATAGTCACTGCTGCTTCAGAGGAAAGCAAAATCTTATTTACACATTTATGGCTGGTGGACTAGAAACTATCAACAGGATCAATCACAAAGCTCTCCTTCCTAGATGTGCAAGTTCTCATCTTGCATATCCTGACAAAGAAAGACTCTAAACAAGTACATTTAGTACTGAGAAACATTATTTGTTTGGGTGTTTTGTTTTTTTTTTTTTGTCAATTATAGTGACAAAGATCTAGAATAATCTGTTGACTGCCTTTCGCAGAAAGCCTCATGATGTCTATAATTTAATATATAGTAGGGCTTTTACAAATGTGTGGAGTGATTTACCACTCTTGACTGTGGGAGTTGCTGTTTTCAGTGACAGAACTGCAGTGTGACAGCTCCAGTAGCAAAAAAATGTTGACTTTTTTGATGACTATGGAAATAAACAAATGAGACCTGTTGATATTCTGACACTGAAAGACAGTATAAGTGTGATAGTTTCAAGAACTATAGTAAATTTTGACTTTTTCTGCTGTTTGCCTTCTTCCATAATCAGATTTCTTCTATTTTCCTGCATTTTCTTATGGTCCATTGTAGATAGTCTCCCAGAAGGTTCACATTGCTCTTTTGAAGAGGGTTCATGTGGCTGGACACTGAATGAAACTGCAGCATTTCCTTGGTCTATCAGTGGCTTTAATGAAATGATTCACAATGGTTCATTTGTAGGGTCTACCTTGCAAGCTACTGCAGGTAGGGTCTTCATAGTTCTTTCTTAGTCTGCCTTTCTGTGAGTGCTTGTTTTATGTGTGCCTGTACGAGTGTGCCAGCATGCATGTGAATAAGTCTTGAACTTAGGGGTATGGGGTTTTTTTAATTAGTTTAAAATGTTTGGCATTCTTCTTTCCAAAACAAATTTATCATCAGTATTATCTAGAATAACTTTAAAAGTATTTATTTAAATAATTTTAAAGTTTAAAACTAACTTCTGATCACAAAACAAAACTTGATATGAAATCTTTTATGGAAAATTTAACATAGAACTTTAGGAGTCTAGAATGTCTTCACCTTTGAAAAGAATTATATGATGAATTCTTTCCCCTCTGTAGATACCTCTTCCCTCCTTGCTCTTATGAGATAGGCAATTGCAGAATACTTCAGCTGCAGCATCACAAAGTAAAAATTGCCTTACAAAACTAAGCATCTTGTAAAACACAAATTTTTTGGAGACTCTTGTCAGACTCTGCTGGTGGGTTATAAAGAGAATCACATCTAAGTCTGTCCCAAGATGAAGTGATAATAAACATTTTGTTCTGTAGAATACCACAGGAGGGGGAAAAAAAAAAAAAGGAAAAAAGGTCTGATAATTCCCAGAACTGTCTGCTTTTTAAATAAGGAGGGAAGCCAAATTCTGACATGTTCATACTTGAAGTCAGAAGCTGAGTTTTGATTCAGTTCCCTATCAAAGGTAGAGAGTGCTCATGTGAGAGTCCTGTTTGTCTCTTGAGAGCTCATACAAACTCTTACTAGGAACAAAGACTATAAATAAGCTCTACTGGCACCATATTTGTCTTAGCAAGTTGTTGATGCTCATGGTGTAAGTATTAGGGCTGATCAAAGAACTCAGAGTAGACTGCTGTGAACCACTGTATGGAAATGTACTTGAGTGGCTCTGAGGTTTGGGCACTCTATTTGTGTTGCAGAGAAGGGTTTGGGATGGTTGAGGTGGTGGAGTCACCGAGCCTGGGGGTGTTCAAGGAAAGGCTGGATGCTGTGTTGAGGGACATGGTTTAGTGGGAGCTATTGGGAATAGGTGAACGGTTGGACTGGGTGATCTTTTAGGTCTTTTCCAACCTTGGAGATTTTATGATTCTATATTGAGTTTTGTGCTGCTGAAATCTACTAGTGTGTTCACTGTAGTTTGCTAATAAATGTACTCTTAAGCCTTGTTTCTATCATGTCCTCCTACTTACACTGTGCTTCAGAACAATGATGTTAAAGTATTTTGAAAGTATTAAAAAATATATATTTTTTCTAATTAACTTTTCTGTCCACAGGACACTTCCTCTATCTGCGAGCAGATAGCAATCAGACAAATGGCATCGCCAAGGCTTTCAGTACCAGCTTGCCAGCTGGTATTGCTACTGAAGATTACCAGGTATCTCCTTCTGCCTAAGCACCTTTTGGAGCTAATTCTCAGGCTGTGCACTGTTTTTGCAATGTGCCTCTGTGCAGTGTATGATACACAACAAAGCACTTTACTGTACTAGGAGTATACTGCCTAACTAGCTGCTTGTTCAACGCTAGAAAGAAGAGAGGAGGGGCATTCCCAGTAAATAAGAGCAGCAGTGCTGAATTAGCTCTTAAATACAGAAAAACTCCCTAGCTTGGGCGTATAGACCATTCCCCTGAAGTGCCTGAATTGTACTGGGTGGCCTTAGACTGTAGGAGAGAGAGTTGGCCGTCTGAGCCTGTTCAGCCATTCAGTATGCATGCTGCTGAGACTTTCCTCCTAAATTCTGCATGATTTTGGGATGGATTAGGAGCATGAAATCTGTGGGGCGTTAGACCTTCCAGGAATAGATAAAGGCAATAAACTGTTCGTGTTCTTCAGAAACTTCAACAGATGAAGCCAACCTGGTGTGGATAAAATCACATATCCTGCCTTCAGCCTAGATCCCTGCAAAATGTAAGGGGAGCTTCAAGATGCTGAAACCAAAAATATTTAAATAATATTGCACTCTTATCACTTAGGAAAATTAAGTTGCAAGCTTGAGCTGGAGTCCAGCTCTGCCAGGGGAAAACAGAAAGCTTTGATGCCTCCTAATTAGAGCTGGCAAAAGAAATGCAGTGCAGGTGCCAAAAATATATCTTCACCATTTATATTTATAAATTCAGGTTAAGTTTGCTGAATAGTTCCAACAAAATAAAATGTGCCTGGAGCTAGGTTCACAAAACTGGGAGCAGTAAGTGTTGGTCATGGGCATCATACAGGAAATCCAGACCCAGTCTCTCCTTCACTGACACAGATTTGAATACCCATTTAAAGAGCAAGGAACTTCTGTTGTTGTGTACATGTGTGTGTACTCCATCTCCTGATTGAGCTCTCTTTAATACAAAGAGCAGCTGAGTGCTCCAGGCATCACTGGAAATGGCAGTTTTCTCTTGATCTGTGACAAACTGTCAGTGGTGCCCCACAGGGAGAGGAAGGAGTCCTGCTGCAAAATATTCTTTGGTCTGCTGATCAGATTGCTTACCTGCCACATCAGTGCTATGGTTCAGGTGGTGTCTATGACTTGGGGCAAGTATATAGACTGGAGTTTCCTGTCTGTGGAGATGGCCTCTTTGCTCATTTCCTGGATATTTGTGGCAGGGTAGTCCTCTCCTTGCAATAGTTTTGTGCTATATAATGCATAGGTATGGATTGAGCCACACCAGTGCAACACATTAATATGAATGATTACAATGGGAAACCTTAGAAGATTTGAACTCTTTCAAATCTTTTGACAGGAGTCTTTTGGCTGGTGAGAACTCTGAGAAAGAATGTATTTAGGATTGCTTTTCTGCAGTATTCCAACCCTAGTAACATAGAAACATTTAATGATAACGCTTTTCTTGACTTTAAGCTTGTGTTCCTCTGCTTTGTTACTTATTGCTCCTGAAGAAGATAACAATCACCCAAATAATATCTGAGGCCATTGATAGAGTTGTTAAAGCCTGAGAACACAAGTGTCAGTTGAGGTCTCCAACAAGAAAATTCTGTGCTAGGAACAGTGATGGAATCACACAAAAGCACTGGGGGTGTTAGTGGTATGTGTGATTAAAGCTTGAGCCACAGTCTCATATCCTGAAGGGGGGAGTAGTAAGTACTATCTCCTATTTATCAGAGGATGCCATTCTTTTTTTTTGCTTTTGCTCTGTTACAGATCCAATTCTCAGTGCATGTTTTTGGCAGCTACAATGGTACCATCTCCTTCTCTGTCAGGGAAGAAAAAAATGGAGTTCCAGTTACCTTGCCAATGTGGGAAAGAGCAGGGAGCTGGAGCGATCATTGGTTTCTCATCACTTTACCAATGCCAGTGCTACAGAACAGGTAAGAACACCATCAGCAGCACCCAGAGATATCCCTACAGATTTTGTAAATTATTAGGGCCTTCACTGAGAAGTATCACTTTCATTTTTGCCTTTTTCCAGACCTGTTACTACTGACAAAATTAGAGGAGTACAGCAATTCTGCTTGCTGAGGAAGTCTTCTGTCTTCCTCCTCCATTCTGTGTCAGTCAATTTCAAGCTATGAAATGGTGTTGACAGCAAGTTATTCTGCACAATACAAATCATTTTTAAATTGCTCCAATCTGTTTCTTGCATTTTCCTCAAGCAGGTCTGTCTCATATCACACTTAAGACCAAAAAAAAAAAAAAAAAAAATCAATCTCAAACTCTATGCGGTATTATAAATGTAAAAAGATCTACCTACTATTGGCATTAAGCACTGTCTTAAAACTTCATGGATTAGAAGGTTTGAGGGGATTGCTTTTAACTGGAAATGTTCTCAGCATCTTTTTGTAAAAAGTTAAGGGATTTGGGTCTGAAGTGGTAGCAATTCAGATCCGAGCAGCAGCAAAACAGGAAGCGGGGAAGGAGAATGTTGTCCCACCCTTTTTCCTGCTTTAATTTTGTGATTACCTTTGGTCACAGCTTCAGTGTATGCTCCTTCAGAATACCATAGGTCTGCAAACTGGCAGTGTAGTATATGTCCTTGCCTGACAGTCTGGAGCCCTGTGGATAAGCATGTGTTTAGTTCTGTGTATTTAAAATATGACCAGTGAATTTGTCCAGAATAGCTCTTTCCCTCAGGCATTTTCATTTGGACCTAGCCGGAGCAGAGTCTTTTGGGCTTTTTGAAGTTGTTAGAGAGCTTCTGCTTCCTCTAATAAATGGTCCCTTATTTTTTTTGTCTGCAAAGCCTCCAATTTTTGTGTCAGACCTCAGTTCTGAAGGGAAATTGATCTGAAGGGAAATGGATGTGGCAGGATGGAAAGGACACCAAATGGCTCTGGGGAGCACTAGCCAGCACTTTCTGAGGACTTAAAAAAAAAAAAATTCCAGTACTGTTAAACTTGAGATAGTTGAACACCCAGACAAAACAAAAAGGTAGCTCGTGTGTGCATGTTTCAAACTGAATGAGGGAAAGTCCCTTCCAACTCAAACAATTCTATGGTTCTATTACAGTCTGTCCCTGCCCTCCTGCTTCCTACTCTCCTGGTCAATTCTCGTGCTGTTTTATTTAGATGACCTCAGACCTATCATCAAAGTTTATTCTCAATTTTTCTACTCCATTGCCTACTTGTTTCTTTCTGTAAATCACAGGCCCAAACCCCATATGTTTATGTCCTAGCTCTAGAAATCAGTTTAGCTAATTTTTCTCCTGTTTGTCCAGATTCAGTAGAAGAAAAAATGGGTACAAAAGAGGGGGGAAGAATGTGCTTTTTAGCACTATCTTGTCCAAACAAACTCACTTTTTAGGAGAGAAAAACACACAATTTGTTGATCAGCATCCCAGCTGGGCACTTCGAAATCTGTTCCTGGTGGTCAGCTGGCAGGATCTCTCACTTGGTTCACATACACAAGGAAAAAATGTTGCTATCAGAAGAGAAGCAGGCAGACGGGAGACCAGACAGAAGAGAAATTGAGAAGGCTATATGTTAGAGTCAATGAAACGAATTCAATGAGCAGGGACACTGGAAACCCCTCTGGCTAGCAAGCACAGAGTTCAAAAGGCAAATTCTTCTTTTTCTGAAGTTAGAAGGAATGGGAGGCATACAGAGCCCAGCACTTGTGAGATATCTCTTCTTATGCACTTGGGGATGACAGTCATTCCCCAGGTACCCACTTATACTCAGCTAGAACAGAAATTGATCTTACAGCACAATGTCATGGTCCTTCTGTTCTGACTATGGACCAGATGCAGTATCTTGACTGGACCAAGGGTATGCTGATGTGTCTTCAGAAAGGATTAAACTGTGATGCTGTATCTTTGGCCGTGGATCCTAGAAGTCTCTAATCCTGGGCTCAGGTTACTGTGAGTTTTATCGTCCATCAAATGCTCTCTGGCTAGTTGCTGCATTGGACTGATGTGCAAGGTCTGAAAATGCAGAGGTACTGCTGAAAAGAGAGGCTTCTGTAGGAAGGTGATTCCCATTGGGTAAACTCCTCTGCTAACCGCATTGCTAAGAGAGTGATCATCCAAGGAAGATGTTATTTGAATTTGCTGTGCCAACACTTATTCCCAGAAGGTTCAGATCCTGTATGTATGAAAGCTTTTATTTGATGCACAAGGGACTATTCTTGAGAATCAGAATCTTCAAGATTCAACTTTACAGCATTATATTAACTGTGGATGCCAGTTTGTGGTTTATGCAGGTGCTAGAGCACTGGCACAGTCTGCCCACAGAGGCTGTGGGTCTCCTCCTTAGTGATACCCAGAAACCTCTGGGCATCCTGCTCAGAGTGCCTCTGCTTGAGCAGGGGTTGGGCCACACGCACAGGTGCCTTCCAATCTCAACCACTCTGTGATTCTGTGATTCTGTGATATGTATCAACATTTGTTTGGTGGACGGAATATGCACGTTGTACTTTACTGCCAGTAATTTGGGACAAGAAAGTACTGATAGGCAGGTCAGTACTTCATCATAAATCATGATGAAGCGTTGTCAGTGACAGCAGTAGAGGTCTTCTCCATGTGTCTTTAATAAGCTGTAAATAGGCTGGACATCAGGCATCTGTTTATTTCTGAAGTTTAATGAAAAACAATTTAGTCCTATCTATTAGAAGAAGGTCCTTCTGTTCATTTTCCTTCCTTCTTCTGAATTCAGAATGTGGCAATGCTCATGGGGCATGACAGGCTTCTAGATAAGTAGTTAACATCTGGTCATAGTGGAAAAAGTGAGGTAGCCCAGAATGCAAACACTTTGATTTGTGGCTAAAACTTAAAATGGCCTGAATTATCAGTTGAAATAAATTTGTGTCACCTTGTTATTTTTCTGGTTACACTGGCCAACACTCAGGTTTAAGACTGCTGTCTTTCTGGATATTGCTCTGTTTAATTTTTATTTTGGCTGTCTCTTTGGGGATAGAAAAACAGATTAATTTTCCCTTTTCTTTTGCACATGCCCAATCCCATTACCGTCAGTGGTGATTGATAAGGATGGTTGTATATGTATAAATATTTGTGAGGGAGAGCATCTTGTTTTCCAGTGTGTGTGCAGATAGCAGGGGGAGTAGGGTTCTCATGTTTGTTCCACATTAAATGTGACATTATATGAGCATTGGTTGGTCCTACTAACTGTGGGTGTATGAATATGATTTCTAGCAAGCTCTTATGGCTGCTCAGCAGCTTGTCTAATGGAAAGATTCTAAATTATGATTATCACTTTTGGTTTGTAAGAGAACACTGTATTTTTGGGCTTTTGTTGTTGTTGCTGTTTTTTTCCATCTGCCTCTTTGTCTTTAAATCTTCTGTCTTTTTGCAAAGGTTTCAACTGCAACTCCTGGCAACCTGGGGTTGGAATTCCCAAGCTGACATTGCTATCGACAATATTACATTTGGAATGAACTGCTTTGCTGATGGTGAGCCATGCATGTTACAGAACCCCATAAAGAATTTGGATAGTGTAATAAGCATCCAGCTGATCCGGAATACACTTGCTGTGTTTCTCCCCTGCACCAAGAGTGCACATGAATCATTTATGTTAGCTTTTATATCACAATGCCAATTATCTTAGATCTGCTGAAGATTGTAAGTAGAGGAAATTTTACGTGTGTCAGTTTATTAGTGCTCTTTGTTTTCCTTAATCTGTATCACATAGTTGAAAGCTGCCTGTGTGTCTTGGCAAGAAACTCTTGACTTATTCCTGTGCTTTAAGTGGAAGGATTACATCACATTGCTCTTTAGCAGTCCTCTCTGACCTGTGCACCCTGGCAATTGATAGCCGAAGGGAACTTGTTGAAAACAAAGGGGAAAACAACTATATTTTAGGGGAGGAAAGGAGGAAAACAGAAGAGTAAAATGTCTCTCTGGCAGTAAAGTTTAGTTTGTTTTGCCTTGTAGGAGAAGCATCAGATGTCACTGGCAGGTACATACATACTTCTCTTGGCTTCATTACTGTTAATGCTACTGATGACAATGCGCTCCACTGAAGATGAAGCCAGAGCTAATCTCCAAAACATGCTAGCAAAAGAGTTGAATTTCTTCAAGTGGAAAAAGGATGCATATTTGGGAACATTACAAACTACCATCTTTTAGTCTCTGCGGAAAAGACTGATATTCTCTGTTGCTTAAACAAGAAGAGAACATGCAGCACTTCAGTTGTGACTTCTGTTGCAAATGAAATGTTCTCTGCTACCTTCAAAAGTCCCCACTTCTGATATGTCAGCACTGAGTGTAGTAGCAGGTCCCTGCAGAGACTGTAGCCTAATGTGAGAAGGTCTGTGTTAAAACTGCTATGTGTTAAAAGTTTTCCACCATTTAGAGCCCTTTTGTTCTCCTACCTTTGTCCAATTTGGTCTCACATTCTTTGCCCCTTAGTTCCATGGGCACTGAGTACACCATTCAATGAAATGTTGAGCATGCATATATTCATTTAAAATTAAGAGGAAGAGGTGTGCCTTTAGAGCACAGCCATTTATTCACTCCGTTCTTTAACACCCCCGGCTCCCAATACATTGGGTTATGCATGCTGACATTTTGTTTTGAAATGTGAGAAAAGTTCTTAAAGAAACTGAAGGGAGTGATTCCAGGTGCTTATTGTGTCAACTGCTGTGCACCCAACTTTTGGACTTTACTGCTCTCCTGAGAGCAAATACAGACACTAGAGTACCCGTGGGCATTTTGTTGGTTCTAGTGTATAGTTATATTCTTTGGTAAATAAGTGGGGCATAAAAGACTCCACAAGAATTTTCAGGGCTTGTCTATTAGACTCCACCCAGGTTTCTCCTCACTTTCAATTACTATAAATCTCACTGATGTCCAAGAGAAGCAGCCACTTACCCCATCTGGAAGTGTGACCCAGAGTTGCATGACTCATGCAGAAGACAGATATCATGAAGGAAATGATTCTTGGAAGCCCTGCACTTGCCATTGTTCCTTGAATCCTCTCATCAAATTGACGTTTTCTCGCCTCTGAAAGTAACTCCCTTGCATTTATCTTCTCATGATTTTAATTCACTTAGGTTGCAGAGAAGCCCAGCAGCTCTGCTGTGTTTTCAGTAATGAAATTATTTCTCTCAAGCAAGGAGAGGTTTCAGATGTCAGAGAGAGAGCCAATTAAGATCCAAACAGTGAATTATTTGCATGAGGGCAACAGGAAGGACATACAGCAGGAAGGAAAAATTTGCTGTTTGCGATGATGTAAATATTAATCTCTCCATCTATTTCAATCCCATATTTTGATTTTCTGCAAAATCTAATGCAGACCTTGAAAGCACTGCTTGTATGTATGCAAGCTGGGAAACTAGGTGAAGTTTTCTATATTCCTCAACACGGAGAAGAAAGAATTAGTAATATTTGGAAGGTGGGGGGGGGAGGCTGGGGGGAAGTGTAGTGAGGGCAGCTCAACAGACATCAGTAGAGACGAAGAACAAACAGCCCATTCTTTGGATGGCAGCCCCTGGGCAGGGACAGATGCTTTCCCTGTGAGAAAGGCTAAGTGAAACAATCTTCTGGTTAATAAAATCACCTTGTGTTAAGACAGCTTCACAGATCAGATGGCATGGATCTGATTCGTTGTGAGAACTTTTAAGGGACAGCCATAAAGATACAAGTATTTTATCCTCTTATCTAAATAGTGCTTTTGTAGAAAGAGATCTGAGTTTTGAGTGTCTAAATATGAAAATGTGGGCTGGCATGACTGTTGTCTTCCTCAATGCTTTCATGGCCACTGGTTTTACCATTAGCTTTTACTGCTCTGAGGATGGTATTGTTCCAATTAAGAGCACAGGTCAGTGGTCCATCAGTGCGCTCCACTGTCCTGGCCAAGGGGTTACTTTTTGATCTCTACGTCATTTATACTTTCTAAAAAGACTGGTTTTTAAATGACAAGACCGTCTGAAGAGAGCTTTTGTATGTGATAACTCTTGTTTTTTACTTTGGAATCCCCCGGCTATGGGGAGCCTGGCCTGCCAGTCTTGTTGTTTTAGGCCAATGGTGTGGGGAGGTTCAAGCTGTTCAGCACAGCCCCATTTGGTTGAGTTAGTAAGGACTGACAAGAAATGCAATTGAATCAGTCGAAGGGCTGGGAAATGGGGACGTTGGTGCAGCTTCCTCATTCTGTGTCCCACTCCAGGACAAGCTGGAGAGGCTTCCAGAAGTGCTTCACCTGCATGAGTGAGGTAAGATCTTTGAGTAGACCGTGCACACTTTGAAGATGCTGCAAGGAACTTTGTTCTGATTAATCCTGCCCCAAAATTACTAAATCCTTCTTCATTACAGTCCCAGAAATGGAAATAGGAGCTATTTATTGTAACTCTGTCTCTGCAGAAGGTTCCCTTTCATTTTATGATTTCTACTGTCCATCTTCAGTGTGAAAATCAACAGCATGAGCTAAGTCCTGGAGTGACACAGTTGCTGTTCATGTTTTTCTGATATAAGTATACCTAAACATGAATAATTCTTGTTCCCTTCTGTCCTTGCAGTCAATATTTTGGCTATCAGAAGAGCAAGTAGAAGCATAAAAAGACTAGAGTAGCAGCCTCTGGCTGCCAGGGTTACGCCGTATTTGTAAAAATTACCACCTTCCAAATTCATTTCTGGTGGCACATAAAGGATCAGCTTCCTAAGAATTAATGGCTCATGTGGACAGGCTGATGTTTAGGCTGTCATGCAGCTCTCATGCTGAAAACAGGAGACAGAAGCTTTCTTCTAGTGTGTGAAGGTTCGAGACTGTTTGGAGAAGGAGGAGAGATTGTTTGTTTGGAAACAAAGCAATGCCTTAGGATAGCCAGTTGGGATGCTGCAAACAAAATAAATAAAAATCCATGCAGAGACACAGACCAAGTCTGTATTTCAGGGATTGATTTACATTCCATCAATCTGGCAAACATAACCAGACTTCTTGTTCATCTCTAACTATCTGAAACTGTTTTGACCTTTGGGATTCATAATTTACTGCAGGCCTAGGGAGACTAAGCATCTTTTCTGGCTATGTGTTGCCTTTTTCATTTGGTTTTCCTTCTTGCCTTTGATCCAGATCATTTGTTTTGGGTTAATTTCATTTTTCACTTGCTTGACAACTCCATCCATTGAAGTTCTCTATCTCGCTATGAACAGAGTGTGTCAGTACAAAGCTTTCTTTTACTTCATCCATCAATGAGCTTTCACACAGACCTGGAGGGAATATTCTCAGGAGTAAAAGCACAGCAAGGTCTCCATGCTTCAATTAGTTATTTGGCCTTTCTGACACAGCTAACAAGTGTGTTAATTATCACTATTTAGAGCAGTGGCTTTGCAGCAGAGATAATTGTCCAGCTGGAATTGAATGAGTCTCTTTTGAATAGTGCATCAAACAGCTGTTAGAATCTCACAACTGGAACAAATGGAAATATTTGTAATGTTTTTCAACTAATGAAAAACGTTCAGTATTAAATTAACTGAGAGCTCATAAAGTGTCTCCTTTTTCTTATAGAGATTTTCTTACAAAGATCTGCATACAGATGGGTATTTTAACTATGGAAACAGGATGCTTGCAGATTATAAATCAAGAGTTATTACTTCTTCCTGTTCTAAGGCAGTTTTGGTTACACATGGTGATCTCAGTGCATTTGGATGCTTTGGCTCAGCCTCTGCTTTGAAGACCCTCCTCCCTGAGAAAGGGCTGATTTTTAAAAGCCTATTTTGTAATGGGCTTTTAAAGGCATAAATGTGGCCTTTTGCTCTGTGTTTTTCAGAAAGACTTGTCCAAAAATTTACAGATATTGCCAAGAGTATACTACTGTTTCTCTGCTGTCAGTTGACATCATTTTATTTAGCAAATTATTCCTTAAACAAGGTTGGGGATGGAGGGGTATGAAGGTCATTGGTGAGAGAAGAGTGATCCGAAGCTGGTTTACCTACCATGACACCGTTAAGAACCACAGATAACATTTTTTGCTACCACGGTCCTTTATGCCTTTGACCAGCGGAGCAGCAGTAGTGCTATCTGTTTTCTCATTCCATGCTTTTCTCGAAGATTCTTGTAACTATAGCCAGTGCAGTTTGCTGCCATAAGCTTATCTTACAGGTGAGCCTCCACGGGATAACACAGGATGTTTGTTCATGTGAAGGCCCTCTGATTTTAGCATAGACAGAGGTAGCAAAGCCAAGATACAGGCACAAGAAAATCACTTAAAAAAAATGCTGATTGTTTAAAATATTTTTTCTGTCCAAGGTATTATATACGTACCTTCAACAAATGGTCATGCTGCACTGATTCATGCAAACTTTTAAGTTTTGCCTCTCTTTTTTCTATCATCTTCCTATCCATTCTACAAACTATTACAGGAAGACAGCCAACTCATTTTAGTGGAAAGCGTCAGTATCCACGGGAGATCAGTAGCCCTGATGAGCATCTTCTGAATCCCCTGGAAGAGCCCTCCCTCCCAGGTAAACGATGCAGAACTGAAAGCCTGTCTCTTGCCTGTAGGAGGTAGCTTCCTTTTTGTCTCCATGTGTGATCTGCCTGAGTGGTCAGCACAGCTATAGCGACAGAGCAATGAAATATAATCTTTGCTAAAGTTGTGGAGATCATGTCAGGCCTGCTTGGCTGTGGGGCAGCAGTTTCCTGAGGTCTAGCTCACCAGTCTGTAAAGAGCAGGAGGTTTTTAAAGAGAAGTGGAGCCCATAAGTAAAAAAGCTTGGAGTAAAAGCAGAAGCTACCTGACTGACTGTCTGTTCTGATCACAGGGGACACGTCCGTTGTTCTTTGGTGGTTCTCAACATGTGGTGCCAGTGGTCCCCATGGGCCAACTCAAGCTCAGTGTGACAATGCGTACAGGGGCAGCAATGTGTCGGTGATTGTGGTGAAGGAGGGAAGGCTCCGAGGAGTGCAAGTCTGGAGAGTGCCAGCCACAAATCGATACAGGTGTGTATCACAGCGTGTTGAGGAGGCAACCATTAAACTACGTTCTGGTTCTGGAATTTCAGCAAATGTAAGTGTAGGACTACCTGTGCTGAGTAGGTGAAGGGATAGAAAAATAAGAAAGAAATAGGAGAGCAGCTCTAAGTTTCTGTGTTTGACCTACTGTTGAAGCATGGGAGGGTGGAGCAGTGATGTGGAAGAGATTAGAACAGGAGTGACTGCGGGTGTGTAATCAAATGCAAGTGCTGCTATCATTTTGGACCCAGAGCTTTGATATTTTAGATTTGGCCATACCAGTTCACTCTGTTTGCCCCTGAAATCTGTCTCTAGTGCTCTGGTGTAGCTTATTGATCTTCTTGAGCAGCCTCTGCTGTGTATGTCTCTAGAGAAAGAATGGCCATGAGACACTGCAGTAAGAGCCTGCTCTGGAGCAATGCCTGATTGGGAGTGCAGGCTGGGGAGAGCTCACAGATGGAGCTGCTTTAGAAGATGAAAAGTGTAAGATTTGTCTCTTTAATTACACCTTTTTGTTCCAGAATTTCTGCCTATGGAGCAGCTGGAGGAAAGGGAGCCAAAAACCACAATGAGAGGTCCCACGGGGTCTTCATCTCGGCCACCTTCCAGCTGGAGAAAGATGAGCTGCTGTACATCTTAGTGGGGCAGCAGGGGGAGGATGCCTGCCCTGGGGTGAGGGCATAAGTGGGCAGAGACTTTGCAGATATAATTCACTGAGATTCAGTGGGCGGCTTGGGGTTTGGCTGGACTGGTGATGAAAGATAGAAATCCCAGGATCCAGCTCTGAATCCAGTCAGTATGGTAAGAACGAATAAACCAAGTCAGAAAGAATCTCAAAACAAATATGAAGGACTCTGAAAAGAAAATTGACCCCAAAATGTGCAAACACATACAAAACCCACAGGAACTTTGCTTTAAGCTCCTGGTGTTTGAATTCATTATTGGCTTTCTTCTGCTTATTTTAAGAGAGGAGCTACTAGGCAAGAGATGTGTATTCCCACCCTTATTTTTCCATAGCCTGAGTTTCTTTCTGCCTGCCAGGATTTTTTATTATTTTCTGTAATTTATAGAAGCATCTACAAATCCAGAGCAGCATTGTGGCTGCACTTTCTTAGGTACTCTTAGGTACTCTCTAAGCTTAGAGGCTAATGTCTAAATCCAAAGCCAACCAAAAATGGTGGGAATCTTCCCACAAACTACAGTGGCCCCTGAGTTGGCATGTGTAATGGCAAAACAAAACATTTGTGATGCGTAGAAATTGCTAACACGAGTGATTATACAGATAGTCCTCTAATACTACACCCAGCAGTGTGAAAGTCTTTGTCACTTAGGCTCAAAAGTTACCTCATCAACAAAAATTCTTTGTTACCACCACATCTTCACATTTTTTTAAGAAGTGTGATCTGCCAGGCCATGCAGACCTTTCTATTTTCACTTGCATGCAAATCAGAGGTAGCAGGCAGTTCTATCCTTCATTGTAGAGGAGCTCCCCTTTCACATATATATATCCACGTGCATATTATCTATGTCTGATATGTATCACAAACAAAATTATCATACTGAGACAGATACATCTCAATAATCTGTGTGTCTCTTCTCTCCTTTCAGGCCAATCCTCAGACCCAGAAGATCTGCTTAGGGGAGTCATCTGTCATTGAAGAAGATTACAAAAAAAAAAAGGACCTGAAGGACTGGGCTGGAGGAGGTGGGGGTGGAGGAGGAGCAACCTACATCTTCAGAGTAAGTATTGCCTCTTTCCCTCCAACTGGAGTAGTGTCCTGCAAAGCAACTATCTTTTACCGTCTGTCATGGCATATGAAGCTTAGTTCCTAACTGAAGATGAGGAGAAAGGATTGTCTCTCTCCCTCACCTCTCCCCTCTGCCTCTCTTTGTGTTGCTCTGTCTTTTTGTATTTTTAATTGAGTTCTTTATGTCTTTTCATATTGTCAATCATGTTCATCACTAGCTAAGATAGCCGAACTGCTTCTTCAGTTCTTGACATCTCAGATCTGGGAACCACACCTGGGTCTTGTTTTAATACTAACAGCAGTCCTAACAAAACAAAAAAACAAACCTATATTCATTTGAATAGTTACTTTTGTACACAGAAACACTGTGTAAAATGTCTTTATAATGTAGTCAGGAAACTATCAATATCGTTGCCCTGGCATTGGGCCTCTCTTCTTTCGGTTGCTTTTGTGCTTTTTGATGAGTTTGTTGTGAGTTCACAAATTCACAAATGTGAAGTTTTTCTGATATTTGATGGGGGGTTTTCCAGCAGAAGGATGGGATTTTCGAACCTTTGCTCATCGCAGCAGGAGGAGGAGGAAAAGCCTATCTGAAGGCTCAGGACAACTCCTTGGATGACGTACCTCTGGAGCAGTTTGAGAACAGCACTGCAGTACCGGGAGTCAGTGGAAGAACTGGGGCAGCAGGTGAGCAAGTCTAAATCAAATGGCTGAATGCACAAGCTGTCCTGTCAGTGAGGAGATTCTTTTGGAATTCTATGGTAGTAGTAATTAGAAACACACTTCTAGTCTATAAAGGATTTCTTTTTATACAGTCAATCATTTAGATAAAAAGAGAATGCATGGGACAGATGATGAGTGGCGCTTCTGTAGGAGTGCTCTTCTCTGGAAAGTTCACAAGTGAAAATTGATATGAGCCAGCAGTGCGCTCTGGCAGCTCGAAAGGCAAATGGGATCCTGGGCTCCATCAGGAGAGGGGTGGTCAGCAGGGACAGGGAGGTGATTGTCCCTCTCTACTCGGCTCTTGTGAGGCCCCACCTGGAGTACTGTGTCCAGGTGTGGAGCCCTCAGTACAAGAAAGACATAGAGATCTTGGAAAGGGTCCAGAGGAGGGCGACTAAGATGATCAGGGGGCTGGAGCACCTCCCCTATGAGGACAGGCTGAGGGAATTGGGCTTGTTCAGCCTGGAGAAGAGAAGGCTGCGGGGTGACCTCATTGCAGCCTATCAATACCTGAAGGGAACCTACACCCAGGAGGGGAGTAAACTCTTCAGAAGGGCTGATAACAGCAGGACTAGGGGAAATGGATCCAAGTTGAAGGAGGAAAGATTTAGGTTGGATGTTAGGGGTAAGTTCTTCACAAGGAGAGTAGTTAGGCCCTGGAACGGGCTGCCCGGGGAGGTTGTGGATGCCCCGTCCTTGGACGTGTTCAAGGCCAGGTTGGACGGGGTCCTGGGCAACCTGATCTGAATGTGTACGTTTGGTGGCCCTGCTAGGCAGGGGGGTTGGAACTACATGATCCTTGAGGTCCCTTCCAACCCAGGTGATTCTGTGATTCTGTGATTCTGTGATTCTGTGATGTTTGGGAGTTGCAGCACACTCCTCCAAACTGTAATGGTGGCTTTAGAAGAGAAGACTTTTTCTCTATTACTTCACTGAAACTCTAACAAAAAGAGTTCTTGTGGAAGTATCCTAGAAATGGAAGCTTACTTATAGTGCACCAGTGGCTCTCCAGATCCTGCTGTGTAATGTCCTTATAGAGGGGCTACTCGAGCGAGATGAGGAAATCCAGTTTAGCTTTTATTTCCCCAAGGAATAAAGCATCTGTCAGAGCTGAAAGCCCTAAGCAGTCCCCAAGGGGGACTGGTAGGCTCCTTATTTCCCTAGTGCCACTACAAATTGGTGCTGAATTGTTGGGTATGCAGCAGGTACTACAGGTCATGCACTCGATTTCCACTTTGTTGTTAACCATGGCAACAAGAAGCTTGTCTGTATATTCTCTTACCTTTTAACAAAGAGTTAACTTGAATGCAGGCACTTCTTAAGAAATTAATTTTAATTTTAATTAAATTTTCTTTTAATTGTGCTTCATTCACCTGCTCTCATTTTGTTGTGACTCTTCGATTGTGAAGGTGGAGGTGGTGGTTGGCAAGATGTGACTCTGCTTCCTCAAGCTGGGAAGTCCCTCTTGGAAGGTGGAGAAGGGGGTCAAGCTTGTCACCAAGCATTAGCCAAGCTCCAGTGGGCTACCTCTGGTGGTTTTGGTGGTGGAGGAGGAGCCTGTACTTCTGGTGGAGGAGGTGGAGGTTACAGAGGTAGGTCTGCTGAAGAAATAGTCGCACTGTGTCATTTTGTGCAATTGGAGCTCATGCAACTAGGAACTAGAGCTCTCAGTGCATAAGTACACTACTGCAGAAGGTGATTTACAGACACTTCAACATGAATGGGATGAGCACGCCCCTCCATCTTTATTTAATTGGAGAAATCAAGGTTATAAAAGCATTTCTAAGCCAATATTTCAATATTTTCCAGATATGCTGAATAATCCCTTTATTTGTTCTCAAAATGCCCAAGGAACTGTTTAGATTTTTTTGTTTGTTTGTTTGTTTGTTTGTTTGTTTGTTTTCTGTTCAAAGCAAATGTATTTTTACCTAGATGAACTGGGAAACCTACACTTGAATAAGCCACTTTCCCAGCCTTGGTACTGGTTGGGAGGAGTGAGCCTTATTCATGAAGGATGTTATACACAGTAATATCACTGAAAGACTGGGAGTGACTGCAAGTGTTTAGAGCCAGAAACAAAATGTGGCACTTCAGAGGCATCACACTTTTGCAGCATGCAGCGCTGACAACTAGCCATACTCTTCTTTCTCCAGGGGGGCATGCCTCTAACAATGATGATATCACAGCTAGTGGGCAGTATGGCATCTCATTTGTGAATCCCATTGGAGAGATCTTCTTGCATCCCCTTGCAGGTACAATACACTTTTTCTTCTTCCTCTTCATTCTTCCTTCTCTCTTTTTTCCTGCTATCACTTCTCCTGCCTTTTATTTTTATAGCTTTCATTCAGGCATATTTCACTCTGCAGGCCAGTTCCTCAGCTGTCATTACTGCTTTAAAATTGTTTATAATGCTCTGGGACCTTCTTCCTCTCAAATAGTTAAGCCAGGAGAGGCATCAGTCATCCAGTTTAACTGCACATCCTCAGTCCTAGACACGTTCAAGTCAATTCATTTCAGGACTTCTCTGTTTGCTTAGAATTCAATTCCTTCTTCCCTTCTGGACCATGTCAGATTTCTGACCTGCCCACAGTATCAACTGTCCTGCAGAGAAAGAAGTTGACCTGCCTACTCCTTTTACTCCTTTTTTTTTTCTTTCTTACTGGGAAAAGATGGGAAAAGTTAAACTAAACCTGCTTGTTGTATCTAATTCCTCATTCAGCCGTGGAGAATGATGGTGAGGTGGAGGTTCAGATATACCTTAACTGTAGCCACTGCCACTCAGACAACTGTAAGAGAGACCCTGACACCAACCTACCTGTCTGCCAATGTGAGATGGGGGCTGTGCTAGCCAATGACAATGTTACCTGCACTGGTAAGATATAGTTTTATCCTAGCTGGATAATAAATGTATCCTTTGTTGGTGTCTCTCTTCCTGGTTTTTGTATTTGTATGCAATTAGCCAGTACTGAAAATTCATGATGTTCTTTCCTTGTATGCTAAACTGCATGTCTGCCACCATATCCAAAATCCAGGTTTGGATTAGGTGGAAGATAAATTAAATGTAAAGGAACGCTGTAAATTTCTTGAATGGATACGGTGTATCAAATAGTTAAGCATAAATACCTTTCCTGTATCGTGTACCACCTAATTTACACCACAAATTACTTCCTTCACAGAAGTTTCCTACTGTGTCTGTTCAGCTGATGCCTAGTGTTCACTATTTACTGACGTGATCTCTTAGAATCTCAAACCATCAAGACTGTAGGCAGTTTCAACTTGTTAGCAATAATGTTACCCTTTAAGAAAAAACTGAGGAATGCGTAAGCAATCTGTGTTTTACTAGGTAGATTTCTGTCTTAACAATGTTTTCAAAATGATTTTGATTTATTTTTTTTCAAATTCCAAGGTTGCAACGGGATTTTCTCTATTTTCTATAGGATGATTTAGCCATGATCTCTGTTTTCTGAAACAGCAACCATGACTGTGGTTCTTTCCTGCAGTTTGGCTTGTTTCCTGATTAATGCACCTCTGTTTTTCATTTTCCAGTGCCACAGGGTCATATCCCAGAGGGACATCTGCCTCTCCCACTCCTCCTAGCTGTGGTGGCTGTGATTGTGGTGCTCGGAATGATCCTCACTGGTGGCAGCCTATCTATCAGTAAGAAACACTCCCTTTTACTTGTCTTTTTCTCAGTTAAATTAGACAAAGAGGGACCACCCAAGCACACACAGCTACTTTTACTACTTGGAACCAGAGTGTTTTGGTCTCCCAAGTGGATCACAGAGGGAACAAGTAGAAATAATAGAAAACATCACCACCCCACAGATAAGCACAAGCATAATCCCCAAAGCCAATGACTGCCCTGTCCTTGGATTTGCTGCAGAAAAAAGCCTTGGACAACCCTGTAGGCAGACACTTTTTTTGCAGCCGTTGCTGTATAGTGTGAAGTTGCAGTCTCTGTAATTGAATGTAATTCCTTCAGAGAGACAGCATGCGCTTTTGCTGCCTCAGTGTCAGCAAGGTGTCTTGTGAGGCAGCATTTCCTCTGCCAATATATAAAGAAGCAGAGGTAACTTAAGTTTCTTCCAGCTGGTTAGGTCTCTGCAGGGGCAAAGATGTTTGCATATTCAGTATTAAATCGCTACAGAAGAGAGACGCAGGAAAGCTAATGACGCTTCTTTGTAACTACCACTTAGTTTCTTCTTTCTGTTCTGTGTGCCCAGTATTACATTTTCTTTCCAGGTTCTTATGCTGTTTGTATTTTTTCCATCCTCAGTTTATCACCTGAAGAAACAGCAACTGGAAGGAGCCAGAGCACGACTGCAGAGCCCAGAATATAAACTGAGCAAAATCCGCACATCAGCCATCATGACAGATTACAACCCCAACTACTGCTTTGCTGGGAAGGCTGCCACTCTGAGTGAGCTGAAGGAGATCCCACGGAAGAACATCTCTCTGCTTCGGTAAGGCTCGGCACAGGAGGGGGAAGGCAGCCTGAAGCAAAGGCAGAGTTGGGGCTCACACACTGGTTTAACAACAAGCATCTGGGGCAAGAAACTGAGGGCTTCCTGTCTGACTGACTGGAAAGCACCAACTACGGGCAAGGAAAACTGTGACACTTTCTTCGTTCTCTTAAATACTTTGATGCCATCAAGCTCTTAAGAGCAGGTATAAGTTCATAAGTCTTCTGTCCCATGTTCCCATGCAGAGTACAGGTTATTTCACCTCTGTCTTGTGTGATGTCCTGGATTATACTTGCTACCTGACGGTAACTCCCTTCCAAATCTCTAGCAGTATTTCTTTTTCTGCATTTCCTGACACAAGGAAATACACACTAGATTGCTCTTCCTCTCTATGTAGTCCAGGCTATCCTGATTAAAGCTATAAGGAAAATAAAAACGTCACCATCTTTGTGTTGTCTTATACCAGCACCTGAAGGGATCATCTTGCAGCTGCCTTCATATGCACTGTTTGTTTTTTCCTCTTCCCCTCCCCAGTTCTTTCTTGCCTTGCTAAAGCCACACGTTCTGACAGTGCCATAGGATTGAGCAGGCTGTTTGATTTCATAGAATGGTTTGATTTGGAAGGGATATATTCAGGACCATTAATGATCCAACCTCCCTGGTTCAGTGATGGCATTAGAAGATATTGAGAAGTTATTTTCAGAGGCTTTGAGATGAAAACAAAACTCTGCTATGGATTCATCTTTCACAACAGGTTTTCTACCTGTTCTTGGACTGGACAGTAAGAAGCACTTAGCCAGTGCTTGGTGCAGAGACACAGTAACGGCTGCTCTCTTTCGCAGGGCACTCGGACATGGTGCGTTTGGTGAGGTTTATGAAGGAACAGTGGTAGGCATTGCAGGGGATCCCAATCCTCTCCAGGTGGCTGTTAAGGTCAGTACCCACAGTTGTTTTTTTAATATACAACAATAATTATCAGTAAGAGTGCTATTATCTCACTGCCATTCCAACAGATTGGTGTAAATCACATGTATAATGACAGAAGTGTGTATATGATGCAAGTTTCCACATGTTGCTGCATCTGGGAGTTATAAACTTTGATTTTTAAGTTGTGGGGCACCAGCAGTGGGTTGAATGTAAATTATCATCTGTCTTGTTTGCTGCATGCCCATGAGTTGTGATCTAACCTAGGACGAGAATCTAAAGAGGGCAATCTCTTTTCTAGCCTCCACCCCTGTTGCTCAGGAAGGAGAGAACCAGTGCCCTCAGAAGGGAGTTTATATGAATTAGTCACATAGAGACTGCTTAATACTACATGTTAAAATGGAATAACAAATCATCTATCAGCATAAATAACTATGGCATCATTGAAATCCGCACACAATCATCAGTTCCCCCCAGAAGAAAATCTGGTCAGCCCCCAGAGATGTGATTCCTTTTGAGGTCATCACTGAGAGCTCTTGACAGGTCCACTGGTCCAACAGAGCTGCTGTCCTGTGCTTTTCTGCCACTGTGATGTATTGATCTGAGTAGCTGGGAAAAGAGAACGTTAGGGGGAAGAAAAACTAGCAACAGTCAGAGCATTTTGGACTGGAAAGAGATTTCTTAATCCTGTGCGTAAAACAGAAAATCCTGGCTAATGCTAGTATGAAGTATTTATATGACAGGAAACAGCAAATCTTTATAGTAATGCTTGTCTATTTTTACTTCTACATTTCAGTTTTTAAGTACTTTCTCATAAGTTTTTCACGTGACATTACTATTTTTCGTAATTTGTATTATTTCAGTTACATTTCTGTTATAGATTAGAATAGTGTCTGCCTAACATTGATAAAACTTGCAGGTTGTTTCTCAGTGCTGTGCAGCATTAAATATGCTGCTGTGAACTTATCTTGTAATATCATAATTTTCCATGTCATTAATGACAAGAGACAACAGTCTAGTTCTCTGTAAAATTACTGCTGTTGCCTCAGGATTTGTCAGTTACTCAGCCCAGAAGTACAGGATGCTCATTGCCTCCTGTTCTTTTACAAGTTTGTGGCTCAGAGGACTAAGTCTACTCCTATGGGTTCAGCTCAAAACATAGTTTCATTAATAGAAAGAAGTCCCAATGTTATTTGCTGTTATTTGCTCTTTCAAAATTTTCTTTAAAAAAATCCGCTTTGTAGGAAGCACAATAGCACAGTGCCAAACAGAAGCACATCAGCTTGTTGTGGTTTTTCAGTGCAAAGATTGTTTGCATTGTCCTGTGTGAAGCAATCGCTTACTTCAGATAGCAAAATGTCCCTGGCAGTGTGGGCTACAGGAGACCACAAGCAGGTTTCCATGCCAGCCCTCGCCTCGCTGAGCAACGACCACCACCCATTTCTGTGTGCACTTGGAACCTGCAGCAGGAGCTACACCCAGCTGTGGCTACCTCATCCATAGTCCTCCAGCTGGCACATGAGCAGGCACTGCAGCTCCTGCTGCCTGCACTCTCAGTTCACATTTAGCAGTGGCAGTTGCTGTCCAGATCTGCTGTCAGGAGAGAAAGCTGTGAGGCTGCGTGACATAATTATATGAATCAAGTGGCTGTATGTGCTGCATGGCATGAAGCAGGTGCTGCAATGTGGTCTTAAAAGCAAAGGGAGAATAAATTCACACCTGTGATTTTAAAATGCTTACTAGATTTGTTTCCCCAGCCGGTGCATTTCTTAATGTAAATCTGAAACAATTTTGCTCTAGAACACTGCACATAGTTAAACGCACACCAAACGAAGCCTCCAAGCAGACTTCCGCTTTCCTGTTCCTCTAACTGCTGAATGGGACACAGGCAGTTCAACTGACTGGCACTGAAGAGATGAGACTTTCCTCATAGCTTCCTGAAGTCACTCACAGTCGTGTTACATGCTTCTTTTTTTTTCTTTATTCTTTGGTGCACTCCTAAATGTTCTCAATTATTTGGTGGAATGGCCTTCGCTTTCTTAAACTCTCAACAGACACTGCCAGAAGTCTGCTCTGAGCAAGATGAGATGGATTTCCTGATGGAAGCACTGATTATCAGGTATAGCTCAAGGGTTTAAGACTGGTGGTGAGTGGGGGGGAGAAAGGAGTAATGCAGGTATGAGAAATATTAGTTCTGTTGCTTGGGTTTGGGGAAAAAATAATATCCAGTCTCTTTTTTCAGCAGATAGTATTTTAGTAGCGTACAAGTTATTGGTTTCAGCCACTTGTGTTTATCCTGAACACTTGTATCTGTAGGTTTTTTTGTTGCACATCTGAACAAAAGTTTCTCCTGATTGGTTTTGCTGGTCATGCTCAGGCACAACATTTTTGTACAAGCTTGTTCTGTATTTGAAATGGCTTCCTTTTCAAAGAATCTCACTGCTTTTTTACCAAGTATTCATGTATCAAGTAATCATATATTGAAGTTCTTGCAAAAAGAAATTATCAGTGGTGAAATGGAAAGCAGGAAATGTAACAGGAAGGCTACATAGTAGAGCCACTTGTGCAGAGACTCAGAAGTTCAGCCTTTGCAAGATGACTGCCAGGGATGGTACAACACAGGCTGCGTGCCAGGGAGGTGAGTTTTTGGTCCTGGATGCTTGGGCTTAAGCAGTATTATCTCTTGCAAATAGAAGTGAGGCTTTTTAGAAGAGTGGTTTGGGCAGCTGAAGAAGGTATGAAAAGCATTTCAAATTGAGGCTTTTTCAGGTGGCATGCTATTATGTGCAGCCTTTTTGCTTTTCCTATCTGTAGAACTATTTGCCATAAATGCTTTTTCTGGGGAAAATCCTTGTGTTTAACTTTTTTTTCCCCCCCATAAAAAATAGCTGATGAGATACTTCAAAGCTCCTGTGTGGATGAGGTAGATAAGGTGGCTCTGCACTGTGCCAGTAGCTTGCACAGATGGAATTGATCTATTTTAAATTTGGGCAATATGAAGTTTCTCCACCTCTCGCTACCTGCCCCAGTTTTTACCTAGATGCTCTTTTTCTTCTGCTGAAGCACGATTCAAGAATAAATCTCGTGACGTAATACTGCTTCATAGAGTCTGTAAGAAGTTTGAGTGGCAGATGAACTGAAGGTAACACTGATAGAGTTTTTAAAGAGCAATTTCAGTTAATTATAGAATGCTTTGATTCTCTTGGTAGCACATGATCTTCCCTAACCTCCTGCACATTATTCTTTCCTGTATTTTCCAGGTCATTGCTGTCCAAAGACAGACACTACTTTCTGAAACTGAGTCTTGCTTCCTGACTGTCTTTTGTTCTGTTGCAGTGGGGTAGAAAGCCATCCCCAAATCAGCTGCTGTAGTGGGTATTAGATGCATACTAGATGCTGAACCGAGTCCACTAGACTAGGCAGCAGCGTGTTTGAAATAATGCTGAAATAAAATCACCACATAACAAGATTTTGTTGTACACACGCCAATACTGTTTGGATGTTTGAGGAACCCTGATCCTGGGAGTCTTCATAAGTAGAAAGGCATTTGGATAAGTCTGAAGTTAGAATTTGTTCAGTAACTTGCTTCGATGCAGGTCATCAAAGCTCAAAGCAAAGTGAGCGTGGCAGAAGTCAGCCAAGTACTAACGTTGTCTCCCTTTGTGTTGCTGTGACCTTGTCTTTCAGTAAGTTCAATCATCAAAATATTGTGCAGTGCATTGGTGTTAGCCTGCAGACGCTGCCTCGCTTCATTCTGCTTGAGCTCATGGCTGGAGGAGATATGAAAAGTTTTCTTCGACAGAATCGACCCAGAGCGGTGAGAATCCTTCCTTGCTAGGCTTGTGATTGGTTTTAGTATGAATGAGGTTGACTGGAGCATTGTGCACTCCTACGTGACTTGGTGCAGTTGCACAGCTTCTCCTCTCAACATACTGTGGCTTTACATGTGTACAGTTGTATGCCAATACTAATGTGTTGTTAGAAGATCGAGCTTAATTCCTTCTTCACAGAGCAGTAAGCATACTAATTAGGGACACTTAGAATGGTATAATAGCACCCACACAGAGGAGTCTATGTAATTCTGATTATGCCATTTTGAGTGACAGTGCTACAAATTCTGCAAGTAGATAAATTCTGTGGAAAACAGAATACAAATATAATCTTTGTAAATCAAGTACAGTTGTCATGTGAGGAACAGTTATTTTTAAAATATCATGTGAAAGCAAACCTGCCACTGCTGGAATGTCAGAGAGCAAATACAAGAGCTGAATTCCCCTTAGTACTCAAAGAAATATCCCTGCTCACCTTTCTGAAAACAAACTGGCCCCATCAGTAACATATTTCACTGCAAGTTTCTGCGGCTGCAGAGAAGTGCCTGCCCATTGCAGACAGAGGGATCCCAGTGAAGAGATAAGGTCTCCAAGTCTGTGATTCTGTATCTCCTTCTTCATTTCCTCACCAGAAATGCCTGTTTTATAACTATAATAATTCTCCCTGGCAGGCGTCCAAAGCTTTGTACAATAACTTGCCTAGCCAATAAAAACAGTGCTCAATGGCTGCAGTGTACACTGTGTAGTTTGAACAGGAGAAATTGCAGAGATAACAGCATCCAGGAACAAAAGCAGATTGAAAAGAACAATTTATTTGATATCTCTTGAGCTTTTGATGAGCAATGTAGTAATTTCTCCCCACCCTTCCCAAGAGCAATATTGAAGTTCTTGGAGAAACACCAAGGAGATTTCCCTACAGAGAAGTAAATGACTGCATGAAAATAAGCAGGGCTCCTGAAGAGAGGTTTCCTTATTGTTCTTAGGGAAATGTAGATTGTGATGGGTGAGTGCTGGTCCCAGAGCCCTGCGATACCACGTCCCCCTCCTGCACACTCAGGGTATCCTCTGCCCTCCCACAAGAACAGATGGGTCGATGAATGCTGAGCTCTCGTGCAGAGATGTGCACTCCTGTGTCTTTGCTCTCTCCCTCTCTCTAAATTCATTAGCTAATCTCGTTTGCTAATATATCGACTCCATAGAAGCGAGGTTTGGATTTGGTTTTCTTGGTGTTTTTTTTTTGTTGTTTTTTTTGGGGGGTTTTTTTTGCTTTTCTTTGTTTTGGTTTTACCTCCCATTTCACCGCTATATCCAATACTGCTAGGGAACAGTTTTCTCCCACCCGTTTTCTGGGCTATTCAAGTCAGGACATAAATTCCTAAGCAGCCTACACTCATGCAGTGTGTTCTGAAGTACTAAAATCTTCAGGAAAAAAAAAAAAAAAAAAGCTTAAAGAAAAGTTATCTCCTTTTCTAACTTTTTTTTGAGCTGCTTGTGTCCCTCTTTGCTCCTGACTGATACAGCCTTTCCCTCACCTGGTACATGCCTCTCCCTTTCCCTTCTGCTGCTCTCTAATTATCCTCTGCCTCTTCTACTCCATTGTTTTACCCTTACCACTTTCTGTGCATCCTTTTCCAGAATCAACCATCCACACTAACAATGCAGGACCTGCTGAACATAGCTAGGGATATCGCCTGTGGCTGTAAATATCTGGAAGAGAATCATTTCATACACAGGTGAGGAGGAAAAGTCTTTTCTGAAGTATGTTTCCTCAAAAGTGTGCTAAGCTCACCCAGATTCTATTTGCAGCACATTAAACAGAGCTACCTCCAGAGGGAAGCCAGAGATTTCTACCAACAGACTTGTGGTCAGGTGTCCAGGCCAATCCCTCTAGTCACTGGCACGAGTTGGGCTCTGTTGGAAAGAAAGGAATCTTCCTCTTTGCAGTGAATGGTTTCAAGCGTTTTCAATTTACAGGTGATTACAATGTAGACACATTTGAAATTAGCCCTATGGTCCACTAGATGGTAGTGTCACGCTGTGTTAGCTTGAACAGCCTGCTCTGTTTTCCTTCCCCCTGCCCCATCAGCACAGGATTTGAGCCACTGTCTCCAGTAGGGTAAAGCAGGAATAATAGGAAGCAAAATACCAGAACTCAAGGCTTTCTTCCCAGTGGCTGACCTGCTGTGTGATCCAGAGGAGAGCATCATTTCTTCCTGGTTCAGCAAGAAAATGTTGGTAGGCTTCAAATACAAGTAAAATACTGTAGAAGGGGTATAGGTTCTTACAGGCAGCCTTTTGAGATTTCCAGTTGAATGTTGGACTTCTTTATTTCTGGTTAGGAATTGTTTCAGCTCATAAAGTTGCCAGGCGTAGCATGAACTGAATTTGTTCCTAAGTATGAACTCTGTGCTGAGTTCAGTGGGTGCCTGTGAAGGACAGGAGAGACTTTTGCCCCAGGGGGTGACACAGACACTCAGCCTATGTGCAGCATGGAGTTAAGCAAGTTGTCAGGCAATTTACTCCCGCCCCCAACAAACACACTTAAATGTGATGTTGTGCAGAGCAAAGAAGCAGAGCTAGGCAAGGGTGTGTACAAACTGGGGAGACTGAGGGAAACAAGAGGCAAAAAGGTATGAGATTGAGATAGGGGACGTGTTATGGCTTTATGATTAGAGCATCTGTGAGACGGCAACCAAAGCGTGTAAAATCTTTTGCCATGTCAGCCACAGGCTATTGATATGGACTCAAGCAAAGTCTCCTCCTCTCCGCATGCCTCCACATGTAGTATTTTTAGTAAAACCAATTTTCATTACTCCACTCAGGTAGAAGTTCTCTGATTTTCTTACTATAGATCACCAAGGCTAGCTGCCATCACATAAGATGTCTAAAATCTGTGTCAACAAGTGGAGGGGCCAGCTGCTTCTGCTCAATTTCAGGACAGAAATGGAAGAAACCAGTGTTTGCCTCTTTCAGCAGTAGCACATCATTTTTCAAAAAACTCTCTGGCTCACTTTTTACACCATTAGATCTTCTGTATAAGCAACCTGGGAACAGACTCGTTTTAGCCAGTGATTCAGCAAATCTGCATAAAAGGGATTTTGTTTAGGTCTTGTGCTAGTATTTTTTAGTGACATCAGTATTATTTAGAGTTCACAGATGTGGAATTCAGAGAAGGCCTTAAGTATGGGTGAATGGTATCCTGGTGGGAAGGATCATGTTGCAGAGATGTCACTAAGGGCCTAGTCTTGTATGTGAAGCCTTGTCATGTGAGAGTCACAGATGATAATGGGAGAAAAGGAAAAAGCTAAGCTTGAATTCCTGATCCTGTGGGAATTTTCAGTGCTGGCAGTGGGAAGAAACACGTTTATTGTTCAAGGAGCTCATTTTTCTTGGCAGCCAACAGGACCCACGCAGAGCTATGATTTTTAATGAGTCCCTTTTCAGAACACATATTTAAAATTAATACAAACCATTCAGCATTGGCCACGCAGTCATGCCTACCATTTGTCACAATCTAAACTTGCATCCAGCAAATGGCTGCTCCCATATGTAGCTTTGCTTGGTTCCATGGGAGGTTGCCAGAAGCAACAAAGGAACAGTTTACCAAATCTCTTTTTCAACCAAACCTACTTTTCAATCAGTTTACTAAGACTTTTCAATAGCATCACATCTGCATTGCTGATAGAGATGCTGATGCCACTGAGAAAACACTTGTTTTCTTTTTAGAAAGACACATACTGTCATAATGTGGTTGATGCAGAAGGGGTCGGATCCTTGCCTTGTCTGAGACTGACCCTGTTTTCTGCTTTAGTGAAAGAAGATGGTAGCGGGTAATGCTCAGAGTATATTGAGTAGAAATGGTAGAAAATGCAATGCAAATGCAGTTTAATAATTACAGTTAATGAAAATGATTGTGTAGTTAGAATAGTTTTTTGTTTTCACTAAAGTTATCCTCATCTGTGTTAAGATGACTCAGCTAAGACTTGTAGGGCTGGATGTAACTTTCTTTCTTTATTCCTGTAGCTAGATAGGAGTTCAAAATTAGACAGAATTATCCATTCATAGATGGCTGAGGATGGAAGGGACCATATGGGGCCACCTAGTCCAGCCCTCCTGCTTCAAATAGGGTCACCTACAGCACATCGTTCAGGATCATCCAGGCAGGTTCTGAACTTCTCCAGAGGAGACTCCACAGCCTCCCTGGGCAGCTGTTCCAGTGTTCTGTTCCCTTCACAGTGAAGAAGTTTTCTCTTATGTGCTTTTTTTTTTCTTTCTTCCTTTTTCTCTTTTTTCTTAAAGAGATATAGCTGCAAGGAATTGCCTTCTGACCTGCACTGGAGCAGGTCGAATAGCCAAAATTGGTGACTTTGGGATGGCCAGAGATATCTACAGGTAAGTGAAAGGCCATTTCAGTCACATGAATTACTCAGTAATCTGTATCCATTTAAATGGTTTGAACTGCCTCATCTAATTTGAAGCAGCTGAACTGTCTATTACATTTCTGAATTTGATTTCTAGTTAACTAACTGGGGTAAACAGACGGTAAATTAACACATCTATGCCTAGTAGCAAATACACTCAAATTGTATCATTCCAGACTGGGTCCTAGAGAGCATTGCAAACACATATGGATGCTAAACCAAACTCAGGTAAATTTATAAGATGGTTGATCACAAATAATCTCGAATTTTAAAAATATTCATAACTGTAAATATATGAGGTCAAGAAAATTTTCTGTATCAGTGCCTCATGCACAACTTCAGCACATTTGATCTCTTCAGCTATGCACCTAAACATCATCATTTTTCCATCTCAGTTGCAAACATGGTATGAAATACTGCTCAGATGGTACAATTCATGGTGATGATTTTTTCTTATTTGGCCCCCAGTACTGCATGCACTCTCTCCGGTTCCTGTTGCTGTGGTGATAGGATCTTTTATACATCTTAGCCTTTTGATGCTGTGTGACATTCTGCATATATTTAATCTTTCCCAGAGCAAGTTACTATCGCAAGGGAGGAAGAGCCATGCTTCCTGTCAAGTGGATGCCGCCAGAAGCTTTTCTAGAAGGCATTTTTACCTCCAAAACTGATACCTGGTAATAAATATCTATTAATAACTTCTGCTATTCACTAATAAACCACATTTACTGCTCAAGGAAAAAAGCAGCAGGACGCCCTAAAGATATCAATCTTCCATGTCCTAAAATGGGAAGAAAAAAAAAAGTAGATATTTCCCTTTGTTAGAAGACTGACTAAGAAATTAAGTGAAATTAAAAACTCTAGTGCAAGTGGAGGGCACAACAAATAGCCATAGATAAATGCAGAGTATCATATAAGGGTGAAGAGAAGACCGTTTAGAATCCTAAGAAGTCTCGGTCAAAAAAGCAGACACTTCCTTCAGCTCTTAGTATCTGCCACTCAGTACTTACTGGTGACAAGGCCTGCTCATATACTTTGTAAATGACTCTATCTATACCACACAGGATTACTCTTCTATCCTTTTTTTTTTTTCCTTTTGTATATGAAATGACAGCACATTTAAGAAGCCCCTGCTTGTTGCTGAGGAAACAGTATTTATATACCGATTCTTCATGTAGCCTGATTTTTCCTTAAAATAAACACCCCCTCAACAATGACACATTCATGCAAAGGTGCTGGGGAATGGAAGCTTTCCAGTTGCTTAAGAACTCCTCTCTTCCTATACAGTACTTTTCAATAAGCACACTGAAATATTACCTTAAATGGCACACTGACCCAGTTTCCTGAAGTTGTTAATGCCAGAAGAGAAGGGATTGTGTATCAGAACATAACTGCAAGCAGCCAGTAGTAAATATTTTGAAGGAGAGCACTACAGTTCCTGTAACTGTAACAGGCTATTGTACATAACGTGTATGTACTGGAAATCTCATCCACCTCTGCACCAAATAGTGACTCTTACAATTAATGACCCTACTGAAGCCTTTGCAGATCCCTCAATTTCCCTGGGTCTACATTGTAAGAAATTTTGAGTGTCACTGCCTAACTGACCTGTAGATGTAAAAAGAGCAACCATATAATGACGATGTTTACTTTTGCACTTCTAGTGAAGGTCTCTAGCTTGTTTTATTCTTGAGCATCCTTTTGCCAAACACTGACTCAAACATCTCAAGTCTGTCAAAGTAAGATAGGAATCTCCAAGCCAAACATAACAGTTCTTGTTTTCAGTTAGACCATGCATAGCAAAGGGTGCTTTAGCATTTTCTGTTCTAGAAATAACAAATGCAGCAGAAAGAACAAATTCAGATATTTTGAGGTGTCTGCAAAGCTACTTTGGGAGCTTGAAGAAGGGCTTTGATTGATTGTTTTGTTGTTTTTTTCTAAATCAAAGTTGGCTCATAACCAGGCTAATTGCACACTTCTGTAGCTGGCCTGCAGGTTCAAAAGGTTGCTGCTGTGTTTTTACCTACCCAACTTTGTTCCAGGTTTGTGGAGCACAAATGTGGAAACCTAATCAGCATTACTATCTGGTTTCTGACGCAGGTCCTTTGGTGTTCTTCTCTGGGAGATTTTCTCTCTAGGCTACATGCCCTATCCCTGCAAAACTAATCAGGAAGTGCTGGAATTTGTCACCAGTGGAGGAAGAATGGACCCACCAAAGAACTGCCCAGGGCCTGTGTAAGTATTTCCTCACTCTCTCAACTATGGAACAGTGGTTCAAAAGGGTTGGACAAAGGCAACTAGACACCTTCCATTGGGGACTGGTGATTGTACCAAATACTATCCTATTACTAATACTATTGTACCAAATACTATCAATACTATTATTGAGCATCTCTTGAGCCACTGCCTCCTGTACATAAGTTAGACCACTACAGGATTTGCTTTCTGTTGGGATCCAAGGATACAGAAATGACGTCTACTTTTGCTCCACTCCTTTGAGCCATTTACTGAGTGCAGTTCTTCTGGACCCAAGCTCGCATCACATTGAAACACATCTTTCACAGTTGTCTTTGTTAATGGATTCTCTTTCATCTTAAGGTACCGCATCATGACGCAGTGCTGGCAGCACAGCCCAGAATACCGGCCAAACTTCTCTACCATCCTGGAAAGAATCAAGTACTGCACGCAGGTATTGGCCCGCAGTAACTGGATGATAATTCCCAAGAATGCCAGCCATCCAAATGCACTATTAGTGCAAACAAGATTAAGGCTCCTCACAGGCTGATGTACTTTCCAGTGGTAGTGCTGGTTCAACTGTTCATTTGTGTTTTCATCTACCTACCTTAGCTCACCTATCTTCAGCCCAACCAAAATCACATGATACTGTTCCTGTGCAAGTGGCTGCTTCCAGTTCACTGTTTGTTCAGTAGCAAAATGCCCTTCTTTTTGTGATAGAAAGGTATTGTCTGCGAAGGTCCACACTTTGACCTTGCTTAGTGCTGGTTGAAAGCCATGGCTGAATTGTTAATGGGAGGGTGAGGGAAGATGGCACAGCGTGTTCATCATCTGGTAGAATTTTACAATTAGAGGCATGGATTAACCTGCCTGAGAGGCAAATTATATACGGGCAACCCTCAGCTCATATGCTGATTTCAGTAAAGCACAGCGACTGTTCAAAGGAAGCACATAAACAAGACAACACTTTTGCAAGTTCTAACAGCATGCAGTGCCCAGATGGCTTATGGCACCTTGTATGAGGTGCAGGAATAGTGCCCAAGCCTAATGCCAACCTCTGCCAAAAGCTTTTCTCGCAAAGCTATTTCTCTGAAAATGCAGGTGTGACAGTCACCCTGGAGGCACTCAGAGTGTAACACATTTCTGTGCAATCCTTCTAGGACCCTGATGTGATCAACACAGAGCTGCCCATGGAGTGCAGCCCAGCACCAGAGGATGAAGGGAACACAGTTGTGCGCCCAAATGTTTCCAGTGGGATAGTGCCCCTGTTGGTGAGCCCTTCTCTTACACCTCAGATGACACCTAAAACCCTGGATTCCCACCGTCCTGGGCAAAAACTTGTACAATGTCCACAAGAGCTGCTGGTGGAAAACCTCAGCAGCCGGGCTGCTCGAGGGCCCAGCCTGCCATGCCTCAGTGATTTCAGCGCATCCTGGATCCAGACTTCAAACCAGAAGTTAGAATTCAGCAATCCATCAACCCACAGACTGAAGAACAAAACTAAAAACCTTTGGAATCCAACCTATGGATCATGGGTGCTAGAGAACGTCTGTCACTTAAGCCCCACCTCCAAACTGAAAGCAACTCCAGAGCGAGAAGATTCAGGCTTTGATGGAAATTGCAGTTCTTCTCCTAGTTCTCGGGCATCTCCAGCATCTCCAAGTCGAAGCAACTGCCCTCACTTAGACATTGGTGGGATCGAACTGGTGAAACTCCAGACTTTCCCCTGTGGTAATGTAAATTATGCATATGATGATCTGTGCTATAGCACTGATCACCCACCATCAGTTTTGACAGGGGTCAGAGCAGCTGTGCTAAGGAGCTCCAGTCTGCATACAGACGAGAAACCTTTTTATAAAACAGATAAAGCAGCAAGAGAGAGGGACTCTGGTCTGTCTTTGTCAGATGATCTGAGTGTTACACCCGTATAACAGAAAAGATTCATCCAAATATCAGAGAATGTAAGTGTTTCTGGAAGGGCAAACTTGAACTGCTTCTTATTTCACTTACTTTCTCCATGTAAGTTCCTTTAGAGGGGTGATGTTTTGACATCAGCAATGATCTTCTTCCTCCTTCTACCTGCCAGATCCCCAGATCATTACAGACAGTTGCATTTCTACTTCTGTCCACCGACTGTGTTCCATTGGACCAACTTAGTTGTAGAGAAAACAGTATTGCTGCTCTGAATCAGCATACAGTACCTAACAAAAGACCTCTTTTTCAATCAGCTCAGGTGAAAAGAAATAGACTTATTGTCCAACCATAGTGTTTGGATGGAAATAATGACCAACATAGGCTGCTCTTCTTTCTGACCTTAGAAACCAAAAATGCATGCTGTGCCAGCAGTGAGCAACTTGTGAAGACCTGCTGTGTTTCCTTGAGCTTTCTACTGTCCTGAGGACTTGCCTAATGATGCTCACATAGTGACAGGAAAGTAAACGAATAGCAGCCACATTTTCATCTGTTTAATAGCAGACCGTTTGAAAAACATGATGTTACTGCTTAAATTGGAAGCAGCAAGAAGGATGAAAAAAAATCCAGGATCCTCTGAGCATGCATTTTGAAAACAAGCAATGAAGAGGAAAACAAACTGACGATTGGAAAAAAATAGAGAGTGAAGCTGATGGGATCTCTTTGAATAACAAGGAAAATGTGCTGCTTGCCTCATGGTGTTGTGTTCTTCACTGCTCCTGGTGTGGAAGGGGCAGGCGGCTTTCCAAGAAAGAGTGAGCTGACGGGGGTGATGGGAAATGGACTATCTTCATCTTTTAATGGACTTTATTTGGGATGGACTTCATTTTTGTAAGTACTTTGATACATGGCAGTAATTTCCTGTGCTATGATGATAAGCGTTACTCATGTTCTAAGGTAATGGTAGAATTTGGTAGGCTGTAGCTGGTTGCAATTTTCATATCTACTTCTTTGAAGTAGAAACAGAGTAATGCAAGGGAGCAGAGTGCAGACAACCTGCTTAATACAGACATCGCCCAATACAACGCCCCTTTTACAGCAAGGCAAAATAGCTCAGCCACTTCAGAAAGCTGTAACTATGACGTTGCTTCACACACAGATTGTCTTTCTCTTTAACCTTTCTAGCATACAGAGTTGCTGGTTAATGTAGTTGATTTTTTGCAAAACTATTTCTAAGGCTATTTTCCGTTATGTAGGGTCTAAACAGATGCTTACTGGTTAAAGCCTGGAGCCTGGAAAAGTAAATAACTTGGTTTAAGCCTGAGCAGTCTCACATATTTTGTACCTGTCCCACTCCTGTGTTGTGCATGACCAACCTGCAGTGGCAAACTACATGCTGCCTTTACATGTAATCAAGTTGTGTGCCACGATGTTGGCTATAGATTCCATCTTGTTCTCTTCCAAAAGAGATGAGGTGCCCCAGTACAAGCTACACACATAGGAAATAGCTGTATGCATACAGTGTAAAGATGTGGTTTAGCAGGATAGAGATTGCTTTGAAGACAAACTTCATTTCCTCTATGTCTCTGAGGGCAGGATACTCTGATATGTCGTACTGAATAGCACAGAGTGGAGAGTTGTGAATCCATCCTTGTCAGTGGAGTGCTTTTTCAGTTCAGGTTTAATGCTTTCCTTATCTGGCTTTGTACTTGTTCCCAGCTTCCTGTAGTCTTAGACCTTAAGCTTGAGAATGAGTAGTTTTATGTATTCTGATTTCCAGATCCTACTGACGATGATGATTCTTTTAGCAGTGAGCTGTATAGCATGGAAAAAATTCCAAATCCACGTTGTGAAGTTACAAGTTATCAGCGTGGTATTACTCATGCTTTTAGCCCATTGTCTGTCCTACCTTACATCCAGGAACTGCTACAGCCAGGTTAGACGAGGTAGATTTAGCAGGAAATTAGGGTACTCATCCTTTCCCCTTGTAGAGGCTAACATTTCTGGTTATGTCGCAGGCAGCCCACCTCTGCAACCTGCTTGTCAAGAATAAACAGACCTAATCTTGGCTGGCTGGATTACAGCAGCTCATCTATATACAATAATGTTAGCATTCCAGTGAGAAGCAGGCAGGATCCCTGCTGAGCTCACTTTGAGCTACTGTTGTTTTTCACATATGCAGCATTTGCTTCAACTTCATTCATAAATTTAGAGAAGCCAATATTGATAAAACTACATGAGGCATTGAAAAGTAAAGTGACAAAAGTAAAGCGAGAGCAGAGCAAAGTCGGAACTATAGTTTCCACTACTCACCAGTGCTACAGGTGGGTCTTGCATGCAGCTTAATTTATTCACAAAATGTAAGCAAGTCCATCAGTCTAGCACTTCGGACAACACAGATGTTTTCAATGAATAGTTAAGTCAGTATACTTATATATACAGGAAGAACAGGGAAAAAGCTCCACTGAACTACAGTAAACCTCCATCCAAGCCCAGTATCTTATCTCTAATAGTGACCAATAGGGTGTTGAAGGGCACTTGCAAGAGCAGAATAAGCATGCAGTTATTATCCCTTACATGTATGTTGTTAGTTTACAACAGCATGTAGCTCAGGGTGTACTGAGTCAGATGCAGTGTCTCCTAACAAGACAGAAGGTGGATCTGCGCAGACCAAATGGGCACTGAAAGAACTGGCTGAGAACTTTAAGCATCTGCATTAGCAACATGCTTTTTATGTGTTCTTACCTCCCTCAAATAGAAATAAAGGTAAGCAAACTTCTGTCAACACAGACACCATCAATCTCTGACCCGTAATAGCTTTTCTGTGTTTATCTGATCTCTTAGATGCTTTTCAAAAACCTCATAGTAAAAATTTTAAATGACAATACAGGAGGAAATAATGCTAACACTGCTCCTACTGCGATACAATAAGCTGTCCAAAATAGGTTTATTAAAAAGAAAAATAACTCTAAATGATGTATACTACAACCAAGCACTAATTCCTACAATTCTTAGACTGTTAATACAACCACAGATTTCAGTGTCCAAATTTTTCCATTTCAAAATACCACTTACTTGAAATAGTCTTTTAAGGAGATGCACAGTGCATAATGAATGAGTTTAACCCATACTGTCAAAATTAGATTACCTGGGCAACTAAAACCCAAAAAACCGATTTTGTTACCGAGAGGAATGACTCGAGCTGGAGACTGGCATTATTTAGTCACGTAATCCATACGGAAAGTCTTCCAACAGCTCCCCAGTGAAGAATCAGCCCTGTATAGGAATACTATAAATTGTTCTTCCCTTTGGGTGTCTACATTTTAACAAAGACTATCTACCACCTCAGTTCTAGATGTGTGTATATAGAGATGTTTTTTTCTTCTGGATTTTGCATTAGTACTTTATGTTCCTTCATGCAGCCTCACACCTACATTATAAGAGAACTGTAATAACAAAAAATGAAATAATTTGTCTATTTTTTCTTTTCACATTTCTCTCCTCTACTTCCAGAGTTTTGCATCTTCATTTTCCCTTTAAACAGGCAGAATTTTTAACTGTGCACAGATTTAAGGTTTCCGCTTATATCAACCCTTTTCCCCAGGTAAATTCTCCACTTACTTGCCAGCGGGCTGGTGTACACTGAGACAGTTGCACAGATATAATTACAAAGATATGGGCTTTTGCAAGTATAACTTATTCCACCTCCAATACCCTCCTACTCCTTACCTGAAAAAACACAACTCTGCTGCTGGGAATATGGTTTTCCCCAAAGTACGTGCATCTCTGCAGCAGTGTGAGCCAGGAACCACTCTTCTTCAAACCGCTGAGCAGCAGCGCTATGCCAGACAAGTTCTCTCCTGCAGCTGTGGCATTGCTCTTCCTGCTCCTAGCTGCCTACCCTTCCCAATCTGATGCAGAGACCTTAGGCATGACATCACTAACATCTGCTAGTCTCATCACACGACACTTTTGCTTAATTGAACCAGTTCTGATTTGTCGTTACCTCTGAACACAGCAGCACTTCTTGTCAACTTACCTTTTTGGGTGACTACTGTGCATAAATAGATGACAAGCCTGCTTCTATGCAATTTCAAGTTGGACAAATGTATACTTTATATTTGCAACACAAAATAAAGAGACGCCAGTGCTGACTGTTTGCTTCCCTCTGTGTTAAATACGGTTTGCACACAGGTAACAGAACACTGTCTTGCTGAGAAAGGTTGCCAGTGGCAGAGGACTGACTCCAGGAACAGAGCACTGTTTATCCCCTACTGCCACGAAAGACAGTGCTGTGGAAACAGCTGCTCTGTGTGCAAAGTACGTTTTAACGTGTTATTTTTTAATATGCTGTAAGATTTGCATTTTTGAGACAGAACTTACCTCTAAGAAAGCCTTCAAACTTTGCATGGTGTTGGGAACAGAGTTGCAATGTCAGCTTCCAGATGTCTCAGAACCAGTTTTTTATCAGGAAATAGTAGATACTAAAGCCTAAAACTGCAAGAAACACTGAAATAACACGGTTTTGTCCCTTGCATAGGGAAGCTCTTTAAGAAAATAATATTCTTATGTGACCAAATCACCATGGATGCCCTTTTTTCCTTCAGTCTCAGGTATTTATTAGTATACACACTTAAGAGTAACAAACACTCAGCCAATACAGTCAAAAGTGACCACAGTCAGCATTGCATTGTAGTGTTCAGAACAGAAGCACTGTTGACAATACAGGTCATTTGATCTCAGAACTGTAAGAATAACAAAAAATAATGATACCAATACAAAAAAAAAAAAAAAAAACCCAAAAAAAAAGCAAGAGCCCTGTGAGATATTCACAGTTTTAGTCCAAATCCCATTGAAATCTTTCCTTATCATAGGAACTGAATCAGAATCAGATGGTAAATTAATGTTCTACGTGCAAAATGCAGAGGCATTTAATTAGCATCACTTTGGTTAAACTGAATCCAAATGTATGTCCATGGGGAACCTTAACACCTATCATTTTTAAACTCATCCAATATACTTCTTTGTGTACTTCTTCTTATATTGCACCTTCCACCAAAGAACCTCAAGGCATCTTGGAGGCAAAAATGAAGTACAGCCTCATACCATTCTGTGAGGTAAGGAGATACTATTACCAACTGTAGAACAGGAACAAAACTGAGGCCGAGGATAGCTGCCCAAGGCCAAAATGTGAGTCACTGTCAAAGCTGGGAAAGAGATGTCCTACTGCCAGATGCACATTGAACTCTGCTGCATCTAACTAATGAGCTTAATGACCTTGGTGCCTAACTCAGAGGTTAGCTGCTCCATGCCTGGACGAGCATATCTTCCCATGCTGTGGAAACACATGTGATTTCAGTGTCTCCAGAGTGAGGCACTATCCCAGCAAAGCATTTAAAGAACTGTGTTCTGGACTTGCATGTGAGCAAGTGCCTTGGCTATCATGCAGCAGCTCTTATATGGCAAATGCCTGCGCATGTTGATCCCATACAAATGTCAGCCTGTTCAAGGCAACTTACTCCACAGCAAAAGAAAGCTATGCTGCTTCCTCACAGTAGCACATGAATGTACACAAAGAGCCTCTTGGGGATTTTTGATGTGAATCAAGGTTATCTAACTTACCCTGTGATCATTTGCTCATGACCTCACAGCCTCCAGTCCCTGAGAGCTCCAGTCCTCACATTTGCAGTCCTATACTTGCCATTTGCTAATGAAAAGCTCCTTCCTTTGCACTTTTCCTGTAACAGCAGCATAATATTAGATTGTGGTTTCTTCCTTTCCAGCCCTTTGATAAGCCAAAGGGTGATTTTTAAACAAACTTACTAGAACTATTTAGCATCTAGAATGAATTTCCAGAATAAGGAAATAAGGACTGCTATAGCTGAGGTTTTCCTTCTCCCCTCTCCCACCCCCATCTTCTCACCTACTGCACAGCTCTGAAGAGGTTCCCTTGTTATCTCCAACATGAGGGTCTACAAACCATCCTCGGAGGTGCTAGCAGCAGTCAGGTTTCTGAAGTACTGCTACCACATTGCTTCTACTTCTTTAAAACAAGACATTAATTCTAAAAGTTCATGACACATTCTCGATTGACATTGGAGCATCAGCTAACTTTTACCCCCTAAATCCCACCTCCATCCAGAAAATAACGCACTGATGCAAAAGGTTCACACGTGTTAACAGAAAAAAAACATTATGAAAGTGAATTAGGCAGACCACTAATTAATTGTATCACCCTGTCTCATTATGCTTTATTTAACCTTTTCCAGTTCTGTCTGGTTTTGGTTGTTTTTTTTCCCTAAATCCCTGAAACTGCAGTCTTAGAGAAAAGGCCTTGTTATTAAAGGTAATCCTGTAAGATTTATTTACTCCTTTTTTTCTCCTTAAGCAATGCTAGCTGACAGTTTACCTGTTGGCTGCAGAAAAGGAGGAGGACTTTTTCTTAATTAATAGTATGAAAACTACCACAGATTAATTTGTCATCTCATAGGAATTCCAAAGTTAGGAGGCATCAGAAATTATAACATGCGTGCTCAATACTGGAAGCTCACCACAATTTTAAAAAAAAAAAAAAGTGTAAACTCTTTGAAATAGCTAAAAAACCCTCTGAGAAAAAAACAAAACAAAACAGTGGAAAATTCATTAGCATACTATCATGAAAATAAATTGAGAAGGACTCTAGAAGGCCACAGAAGAAGTCTGAATTTGCAGTGAACTGCAAAAATAATTATCAGTTTCAAACAACCCCTTTGACAAGGAAATGTCTCCACACCTCACTACTTCCCACAGGATATCCATTCTATGTCCTCTAACCTTCAGGGCACAATTGCATTTTTAATACTGCTGTTTTGTTGAGAGGTGATGAATAAGTTCTCAAATCTGATCTCATAGTACAAGAGTCTGTTATCAAAAGTAACTCTTTGATTTCCCTTTGATTCAAATTACAAACGTTACAGATGCATTTCATTCCAGAGCTAAGCTCTATAGGATTTTTGCTCATGGTCACAGTTAGTTATTCTTGAAAAAGCTGCTCCCCAAAGCACCGAGTTACCTTCATCTATCCTTGGATAGATGCAGTTCTTGGAATCTCTTCTGAGCACAGGACACTCGCAAGAGAAGCAATTTCTGATCGATGTGCATTACCAGCTCAAGATGTTAAAAGTGAATTAATCAAACACTAATCTTCAGTCATGTCCTCATTTTGGCAACTGCATCGACATGTATTTATATTAAAGCCTGGAATGTAAGTGAACAGGCAAATACTGATGGTCTTTATATCCTGTTATATTTATAGAACTGTTAAAGTGACAAGAGGCAACCAACAGAAATGGTATGTGAAACCAGTGTAAGAAGTATCACTTCAGTCTTTCTTGATTTTAATCTAAACACTGAATCACTGTGAATTTTCTGTGGCTGTGCCTGGGCCACAGCAGAGAAGAGTAAATCAAAAGTGGTCCTGTGATTCCAGACAGGGATTAAAGGATGTGATATATTGACATTCCTTCCCCCAAACTGCCCTGAGTTAACAGCTGATATATTGGAGGAGGAATGCGTAGGAATTATCTTTAGTGTAATGCTGTGAATGCAGGAACTTTACTTTCCTGATTGCTGCACTATACACTTTTATATAAAAGTACTTACATGAGTCTACACACTTCAGTGGCAGCATTGTACTTGGGAATAGGAGCACGGTCAAGAAATCACCTCTTTCATGTGCATCAGAAGACAGTCAAACTATAATCTTAAAAGATCACATTGCTTACTGGCTACTAGTGTGTGCATGTATGTGCATGTGTACAGTAGTTTTATGTTAAAAATGAGCAAGCCTTGAAAAACCCTCTTAGTTCCCCAGTCTGAGTGCTAGAGTGCAATAACTGATTTTCACAGCTGCAGTTCAGCTGCAAGAGGCCAAACCTGCCAAGCTAGGCACTTTCCCAACAGCCCACCCAGTTTGAAAAGTCAAATGTTTCTGGAGACAACAGGCTGCTACTCTCTCCCTGGACTATCTGTAATCTCCTCAGAGGCTACATAAAAAAGCAAAGGCTGCTCTTGGACAGAAGTGAATTGAGACTAAGGTGGGGATGAGGAGGACTAATCAACAACAGTTACCACATACAGCCACTACAACTGCTGTCTCACTTTGCTCCAGGATTCTTCTGCTTATCATCGATTTCCACCTTGAGTAAGTACACCCATAACATAAGGCAGCAGCTGTTGTTAGTCCAACCTATAGTTTACACAGGAGCAAGAAGACTTGGAATTAGGGTGAAAGAAAAGAAACACTCCTGCTGGTTTCAAAACTATCCAGTTCCCTGAAAAATTGTTACTCCTCCCCTGAATTCCCAAGCATTTGCTCTGGATCACTGAGAGGTAATCTGGAAGTCCCATCAGTTTACCAGAAATCAGAATCATTCTGGTTTACCATACAGACCTCTTGACTCATGCTGGTGTGGTTCCTGAGTATGGAGATCTTGATTCTCTGAGGACCAGTCTTGCGTTAGGCTGGTGCAATGCAGACCAATCTGGAGTTATTTAGGTTCACAGAGGGCTGATGCAAAGTCATTTTGATAACTAGCTGCTGGGTTCTGGATGTAGTTCCCTCTGCACTGTGATGACCTCAGGAGTCTGAAGGGAGTGAGTTAAAGCAGTTTCCTTCTGAGTGCTCTCAGTAGAGAAGAAAGTTAGTTACAAAGCAGCCCTGTAAGTTTTGTGTCACTTTCAACTCATCTTTCCGTGATGCTTTCCAAGATGCGAATCAAATTGTCCAGTCCCAACAAGTACCCATCCTCCCTGTTGCCTTCTTGCCAGGGGATCCTATGATCCAGCGTCTGCCCATCAGGAAGAAGGGTGGTCTTCCCAAAATCAATCAGCCACACATTGGCATTCCCACTGCCATCATGTACAAAAAGTAGTGAACTTCCAACGACCTGGAACGTGGATTGAGATGATGTTAAAAGCGTATCTTTAGGTCTCCTCTTATCACGCCACCCATTAAGATGACAGCCTTCTCACCTGAGACCCAACAGTCTTTAGGGCCAAAGGCCACTCTGCTTGCATATTTACAACTTGCATGCATTGTTTATATAACTGAAATCAATCAGTAATGTATAAATGGGCAGCTAGCTGAAAAAAGGGACCCATCAGACAGAGGGAAGA